TTTAAAGTTTCCCAGCCCAGTGTTACCTTGTTCCACACATTCCTCAAATGGATTAAAAAGACCCAGTTTAAACCACAAAATATTCTTCCAGCTTTTCTACATATCCATATTGTAGTTTTACATTTATATGCAGAGTATTAAATGCTTATAAAATGGAGTCCAGATAGGGCAGTTTGATGCAGCTTCTTTAATTAAATCAGTTTTATCTTATTTAGTGTGGTACATCAAAACTCAGTTTTTACAGTTCTGTGAAGGGCCTCTATGTCCCATTTATTCACAACATCTCCATTAGTACAGCCAAAGAGGTTTACGCAGACAATTGCAAAATCTAGGATCTTCTAAAAGCTTGTATATAACAAAGATTAATCGGGCCATGAATATTTGAGAACACAGAATTTTCTCAAACATATGAAACTACAATAAAACATACAGGGAATAAATATTCTAATCCTTAGAGAAGAGCGTGGCAGAGATGTCAAGAACAATTAATTTCAAAACACTATGCTTTCAATTATTAGCTTTTCCATTGGTGCTGCTACTTAAAACACTGTGTTCAGGGCCTTGTGTGTCAGAATAGAAAAACATTTTTTCCAGGAAACATTTCACTTAGATTTAAACGCTACAAGCCACTTTAAATTATTTATCTCCTTTGAAAGGTTCTGTTATTTCATGCTCTTACACAACACATAGTATTTTTAAGTTACTTGGCTTCAAATAGTTTGAAGATCTCAAAACAATGAAATGGGAATACATATTAAACTCAGTGGGAATTACTTCTCAGGTACACATATATAGGATTGTGCTGTATCCTAGGGGTAAGGCAGAAGGTAATTCTCCAGTTGTTTTACTTAATTTTAGCTCCCAGAATTAATGAAAATTGACCATGCTGGCAGGGACTTAGGGGAGTTAAAATCTAAAATATCTGGAAATCTACCTTAAATATTACACAAGCACTTTATTTCCAGGTGAAATAAATATGAAAAATAAAGAACATGGGATATATGCCCCTCAGCTAAGACAGCAAAGGCAATGGAGCTATGTAGTTTACACGTGATGTTGCCTATAAAGAAAATAGTTGTTCTAGTGTAATGCTTTTAATTAAATTCTAGAGATATGATGGAACAAAATTAACTTGTCAATAAATTACAGAAATTGAAATAATGTTTTGGTAACAACTGCCTATGATATCCCAAACAAAATAATCACATATAGTTATATAAGGACCAAAAATAAATATTCAAATATCAAAAGATTTTTTTTAAAAAAAATAGTAATTAACATTTCATGAATAGTAAGTTGGCCAAACTAACAATTATTACAGCTGAAGACAATGATACTATTTCTTGTACAATATTCCATCTAGAGATAAAATCCTTCAGATAACTTAATGAGAAATTCACCACCTAAGAAACTTAATTTGGACATAATACAGTTTTTACAGGTAGCAGTTTTTGCACTGATTATAGTGTAAGTTAATAAAATCAAATCCAGAATCTAAGTTTTTAGTTAAAACTGTTCCAGTGTAGCATCAAGATGTTAGACAACTGTACTGCTGAGCCTCATAGCTAACTCCTCACTCAAAATTGCTATTAACCAATCTCCAAAGATACTTTACAATCAAACTAAGAGTAAGGTAACATCATGATAGATCACCAGTCATCAAGAGAGGCCTAGCATACAATTACTGAACTAAATGTTACCAGACAAGTTGAATTTACTTGTTCACACTTAATTCCCTCTCAATGTGTTAAATTAGCTTAATACCGCTTGGAAGATAATATGATCACCATTTAGTATTATTCTGATGGAGCACCTATCTTGTTAACATCATGCACATGGTGGGCATGTCATGGGTGGAGCCAGGGATCAGACTAGATGGCCCAGGAGACCCTTTCTGACTCACTCTGTTTCTATGTTTCAGATGCCTTTTGTATGTCATGATAGTTTAGCTGTAGTGTTTCCAATGTTACAGTGTTTCCAGCCTGCCTGCACTGATGTATATTGACATAATCTAACAACTGAACATGACTGGGTGGTCAGTTGCAAAAGCAGACAGGGCCTGCCCTGTTAACAGTTGTGTAGAAGACATTCTGTTTTCTCATGTAAACCATACCAGCTGAAATTCCTTCTTTTATTCAGCTTAAAAATTCATCCTCCTTTGCATCTAGCCACCTCACCTTTATTGCCTGCAATGAAGTGAAATCTAGCCTATTAAAGCTCATGCCACAAGACTCCATACTTGCCTGGGGGTAAGTCCCACTGAACTAAATAAGACTTACTCCTCTAAAGATATGTATAGGATTGCATTGTTAATTTATTTTTAAGCTGCCACAAGTCTCTTGCCTTCTTCTGCAGTCCTCTGAAATGTGTGTAATGAAGTAAATTGTAGAATCTTGATTGTATTCATCAGGGTAAAGAGTACTAGCAATAGAACTGTCAGGACAATAGTTTCCTACTGGTAATCTAGATAAACAGTACAAGATGTTCAAAGAAAAATGTGACTCTTTAAAGAGGAGTCTTTGTCAGGTAAACTACACAATGAAAAAAGAGAATTAATCAGAAGTTGAATGACTAGAATGCAAGATATATTAGAATCTAAAAAGTTCATGTTGATACTTTCATATAAAATCTATTCATTGCATGTTTTGGGCACAGTCCAGCTAAATGAAAGCACTTTCAAATTTCACTGTTTTCACTTGGAGAATTAAGAATATGATTAAGTCCAGGCAACTAAAATCAATAGTACTTAAAAGTGGCAACTTAAACATTAGCTGAACTGCAGCCCTCAAATTAATTCTGTGCCTGGTTCCAATGCTGTTTTATCAGATTAAAAATCTATTTCAGAAGAACCCAGGTGTATGTATGCATCAGTCTCAGAAGATACATGTTCCTCCTTTTGTGACAAAGTATCCTCATCAGCGTTATAAAGGAAATGAGTTTATTACTTTTCATCTAGAATACAAAGTATCTTTGTGCTATTTCAACACAACTTGAAAACTTATCACTGTAAGTGATAAGTATGGCTGTGTATGTTTCATTACTTTGTTGCTTTTATTACTTTGAAAGCAGAACTATTATTTTCTATTAGTCATAACTTGCAATTGCATAATTTTGTGCCTAACATTAGACCTCAGGCTCCAGGCAAAATTATGAGCCTATAAAACCTCACAATTGGGAATCTATTCTTGGCCAGTACAGCTTTCCAATGTTCTTCTAGAGAGGGCCTAGGTTAATTTTAAATCAGCATGCATGAGCCTTTCCTAAAGCTAATTTTTCCTGGCCACCCAAAAGCAAGCTGAAAGATTGGACTTGATCTTCATTCTTGGCAACAACATAATGTTGGCCCATGAAGTTATTCAGTGGCATTGGCTGTTATGGTATTGAAAAAATGATGTAGCACATACATATTCCAAAGTCATTCTGCTATTGGAAATGTTTCATTTTTTCCTTCCTCCTCTCCCCATTTCCCATCCTATTGAAGTTTGGGCAATATCCTGGCTAGACTGTTTTTAGATATGTCTACTCTAAACAATATTGTTTAGAGATATTGCTGTTTAGAGATTTGTTAAACCTAATTCACCGGAGTTGTTTACTCAAGTTCTGAACGTTGCATACACATTTGTTGTTCTTATTAATGTATCACCATTACCAGCTATTCCATCAGGCAGCAGCAAAAGCAGAGATGAGATCAGAAATGTGAAGACTTGAGGAAATAGCAAAAATGGGGGACCTAGAAAAAAGGGGGCATGGGAAATTAATCTCAAATTTTCAAAAACTCCCGGGGGGGGGGTGCAAGAATGAACTTTCCCCACTCAGTTTTTCCTCCTGTCCTTCCTCCCACCCTTCCCATGGACCTTCTTCTCTCTAGATGGGAAGCCAGACCATTGCATCAACTGATGGGAGACTATCAGCACCCCTCACTCTATCAAGTAGCATTTGGTAAAAGCTGTTTAATTCAACAGGATACAGCTGAGAGAAGGAACCCAGCTTTTTCTTCTTCTTTCTGAATAACTGCTCTGTAACTTTAGTAATTGGTACCTGAATTCCCTTGTCTATCTCATCATGTTTTGTTTTTGTCTTATGTATTTTCAATATAAACCTGGGGGAAGAGGCAATATTGTTTTTCTGACACCACAGTTTCGGTTTATCAACTTTTTCTGCTTGTCACTAACCAAAAAGTAGCTTTCCTCACCTCCATGAAGATGTGCATGGGTATGTGTTTCTGTTATATCCATGTTCTTAAGAGTTACTCGAGTTCTGCTTTTCTGCCAAACATTTTAAGCTCTTTGTAACTTTGTTTTCTACTACACACTTTGGCATCTTCAACTCTAGATGAAAGGTAGGAATTCAACAGGCAAAGCAGATCTCATTATAAGTTTTCATTCATTCAAGTTCTACTTACCATGAGGAATTTACAAACAAAGGGACCCTGCCAAGAAAGGGGGACAGTATCGGCCCTGCCTATCTGCCTTTGCTTCGAATTAGGACGGGGCGATGCCCACTTCCTAATTACAGTTAAGAGTTCTGGATCGTCTCCTGGCAGCTGCAGCCACTGTCACCTTTTCAACCAAGGCCACGGAGTCAAAAGGGAAACTACTCGACAAACAGTATAACTGTACCGCAAAGAAAAAAGACGGTTTGGATGACGCGCAGGCGGAACCTTGGCTAAAAACTGAAAACTGCCACTGGCTGTTGATGGACCCGAATGGCATCGCTCTGATACCTTCAGGCCTTGGCATCCTTATTGTGGAATTCTTATTTGAGATACGGATTACTGAACAGAGCTAGTTCGGGAATAAACACACACTGTCAATAACAACTCTGAAGAGTGCCTATGGTCTGTCTCGATGGCCCGTGGCTCCCGGATCAAGCCTTTGGCCAAGAGCCGTGCAACGGCAGGAAGAACCAAACGGGCAGAGGTTTCGTTCCGAGGCGTGCGCAGGCGCATAAGGAACGGACGCCAGTTTTCCGTCGCTTACCAAACCATAGATATAGGACTCTAGAGTGTAACAAGTCTATGGCGCCTTTAGCGTCACTCCATTTCCGTCGCGGAAGGGAAGACGGGGCCCGTGAGCGCGATGATCCCTACTCCGTGGTACCAGCACGTGGGTCCGCAGGGCCCCTTCAGCGACGTCTATGAGCCCGCCGAAGACACTTTCCTGCTGCTGGACGCCCTAGAGAGCGACGCAGACGCGCTGAGGAGCGCCAGGTGATGGGTCGTTAGGGCGTGGCTTGAGCGACCCAATAGCGAGAGTGGAGCAGCAGGAGGGAGCTCGGCTGTCGAGGAGCGTGCGCGAGACCGGTGGTCACGTGCTTTTCGTTCCCGCCTTCCCCGGTGTCGCGGAAGTTTTCATGCTTCAATGTCGGCTGGCACTGATCGCTTTAGGGCTCAATCCTATGCATGTTAATAGAGCAAAAAGGATTGCAAGTCCCAGCATTGCCCAGCCAGCTGCCTAAACATGCATAGGATTGCACCTTAATCTCACCTGTCTCATCTAAGCAACCCTAAACGCCTATGTTTTCCTCTGCCTCATGCCTTCCAAAAGTTAGCCAGGGCAAGCGAGTTTTGCAGTGCAAACAATTCAGGGAAAGGGTGTTTTATTTCGGTTGATGGACTGTATTGCATTAAAGTTTAGGAAGAATCTGTGCTGAAAAAACAGAACTAGAAACTAATTCAGAGGGGCATTATGAAGAGTTCTTTCTCAGCACTGGTACCTGAGATCTTTCTTTTGGGCTAGATTTGCCAAGAAATGAACTTGGGACCTTATGCAGAAAAATGTGCCCACTTGCTGTACTGTGGCCCTTTCCTAAGATTGGATGCACTACTTTAGTCTTCAGTGATACATAGAATCCGCTTGCCCTTTAGTTATGATACTTAACAGTGCTTGAGTGCAAGCTGTGGTTAAAGTGCCTAGTCTTATGTTACAATATATACTGATATAAACTGTTCTCCCAACATCGGTCTACAGCAGGGCATTTCAAGTTTGGAAAAATCACTAGTTCAAAGCAACCTGACAAAAGATTCTGGTATGCAGTCCTATGAATGTTTGTGGAGCAATGAGTTCTGCAACTTCCAGCATTTCCTTGCCAGCCATTGTAGGGCTTTTTTCTGCCTAATGTGTAAAATTGCACTCTAAATTATATAGGTGCTGAACTCTATATGGCACTCTAGCCCTCATATTAATCTCCTTGTGGCCTTTCTTTATGCCAAAATATTTAGAATTGACATCTGCCTTGAAGTAGGATCTGGATCTGGAGTAGTTTCAACTTTTTTGGCTTCTGTCGTTGGACATGAAGCATTATACATGTAAGTATATATTATTTTAAATTATGTAGGATAAGTGAAGAATAAGGTGTAACTGACTCCTTAAAAACAACCCACTCAACTGAGGGATCATATTATAATAATAGTTTGGTAGACTTTTTAGTTAAGTGCTTTTAAAAACAGTAACTTTGAAATTGACCATAAGTCTGATTATTTGCAGAAAGCAGTAATGCTATTGGATCCTTCATTTAGTAAAATTAGTTCAGTCAAATATGCCTAAATTAAAGCCAAATTAACTTAATACTGTATGTTGGTCTATTCTACAGGTCAGTAACTCAGCTATTATGCCAAATCATGGATCATGTTAAGTGTATTCTAGATCTTAGATCATTAAGCAAACTATACTTTAGACATATTTGTTGCTTTAGTTTTTATTTTCATTGCTTAGCTTAAGTTGACCTTCATCTTCCTGGTGTAGCAGCTTCAGCAGGCAAAGCAATGGACATAACTATTAGACATCACACCACAATCTGCCTTGCAAAAACTCATTTCCCATTTTGGTTTTCATGGTTTGACAGCTAATGTATTGTGCCATATTGTAATAAAGCTTCATTAACCATGTTTTGGTCTTATGCCTGTGCAACTCATGCATTTTGAGTTCTAATATCACCTTGTCTAAATGATACTCATAGCCAATAATTTCTTCAGTTGACCAGAGAGTACAGTAAGGCTCCGTCTTACAAACATCTGAGTTATGCATATCCATACTTATGAACAAATTGCCATAAAGCCTAGTACTTCACAGTAACAAACACAGGAACCATTTTAAAAGGTAAAGGTAAGTCCAGTCATGCCTGACTCTATAGGGGGCAGTGCTCATCTCCGTTTCCTAGCCGAGGCAGCCAGCATTTGTCCACAGACATTCTCCGTGGTCATGTGGCTGGCATGACTAAACACCAAAGTGCACGGAACGCTGTTACCTGTCCACTGAAGTGGTACCTTTTTATCTACTCGCATTTGCATGCTTTCGAACTGCAAGATTGGCAGGATCTGGGACAGAGCAATGGAAACTCACCCCGTTGTGCAAATTCGAACTGGCGACCTTTCGATCAACCAGCCCAGCAGCACAGCATTTTAAACTACTGCGCCACCTGCAGTCCCAGGAACTAGTTTATGCTCATGTAAATATTCTGCAGCATCAGTTGCTCGTTGGCTTGAGCATACCCCCGCCAGTGTGTTTTGGGTCACGTGCAGTTAGTGTTGCCTTCCGTAACTTGTATTACAGTACTGTATTGTATTTAAGATGTTTTAGTGTATATGGAAGTTGTATTTGCATAGTAAACATATATATTTTACCTAAGACAAACATTTGGTTTACTCATGCTATATACAACCTGTGTGTACGTGATCTGACTTACGTAGAAATTCAATTTAAAGACATTCTCAGAAATTGCACTTGTTTTTAACCTGAAGAGTTCCTGTATCTGCCCGTAGTTACTGAAATGTGACTCATTTTGTGTTCACAGGTGTACTGACATCAACCCAATGGCAGGTCTCTGCACAGTGGAGACAGCTATACGCAACCATGTTGACATTCAGCCCATTATTACAGATCTGGTGAGATTCAAGTTATAATCAATACTTCTGATAAGTCAGCAATTTTAATCATTATTGAAATTATAAATGCATTAGGTCACTTGTCTCAAGTCCCAGTACCACTCAATTGCTATTTTTAAAATAAATTCTCAGAAGCTTATCTTACCTTTTACTGATTGACTATCATGATATGACAAACACTTTCCTTGAAAAATCTCAAGTGACTACTCCTCTGACTTCTCCTTCAAAATGGTTGTTACTAGCATATTGCTGTGACAAGGTAATGAAGCTATTAGCAAAAACAGGCAAATGTTTCTTATCAGAATAGCAGTTGAAAGCATAAGAAAGGAAAGTGTTGCGGCAAAAAAAGGGGAATGTTTTCACTTTTCTGGAGCTGCTCTGCTTTCCGTGAAAGGGACATAACTTTTGAGGTGGGACTCCATTTATCTCAAGTGTAATAGCTATATAAACCCATCTATTCATTTATATCATTGAAAATTTAACCCACTAAGGGCTTCTGTAAGTATTAATACTTTTAATGTAAAGTTAGCCTTATTTTTCACTGCTTTTGAAGAGTACTTGAAGCAAATGTATTCCCATTCAGTAGTTTGGTAAATGAGTAGATAAGCCTATTCTAGCTTTATCTGTAAATTCTTTTTGTACTTCTCTTGAAATAAGACCACAATACCACTTTTGGATGAAAAAAATCAATGTTTTAATAATGGCAATCATGTGTTCAAAGCAGAACAGGCTTGTATACTTGTGAATATTTTTCCTCCAAACATTTTACTGATTCATACTGAAGACTGGTTTTTGGAAAAGCAGGTAATACATCTAGCTGTTGCCTGTATTATATTGTACATGTTATTTTAATTTATGCTAGGTAACTGGATTATTGCCACGATTGCATGGGAAAGTTGATGTGCTGCTTTTTAATCCCCCCTATGTGGTAACCCCATCAGCTGAGGTAAGAATTTTGAGATAACATTTCAGAAAATCTTTCCGAACTCTATTGTGCATTTGGACGTATTTCTCTTCTCTAAAGAGGTGGGCTGTTTATATGAATTTGTTCAGCAGCAGTATTTCTAAATCTGTTCTTACCTTTAAATAATCTTGTAAGGCGTTACCATCTTTTTCTTATACTCTTACATAGTTTGCATGTTTGTGTTCTAGATTCTTGTTGCCCAGTACTATGCACTTCTACTTAGCAATTAAGTCCCACTGTGTTTAGCAGAGCTTGCTCCCAGGTAGGTATGCATCAGTTTTCAGCAGCAAGGTGGCTTTATATCATAGGCAGAGACAGACATGAAAATTGAATCATCATCTTCTATCAATAAGGTCATATTCCTATGCCTGTTTAGACAGAAAAAATCCTCTATCATCCAGCATTTTCCAGCTTACTGGAAAATGCAGGGAGTCATAGGACTTTTTTTCTGTCTAAAAATGCATAAGATTGCACCAAGTATGCTTAGACCTGCAGGCTTAGAGAATAATCCTGTGGGTGTTAGACAGAGTCTAAATAGCCATGAGATAAATTTGGAGGTCCAGTTTCAACCTTGAAAACTTACTCTGAGGTTGAAACAGATTCCAAATTTGGAGCACCCTTCTCCTGCCCTCAAAGGTGGCACTAAAGAATTGTGCTGTCTACAGATCTGAGGTCACAAAAGTGACCTTGGAGATAGGCTTTTGTGGGCAGGGAGAGGAGATGACAGGTGTCACCACAATATGAAATATCTTGGCAGCGCCCCAGTCTTCTTTCCTGTGTTCTAAGGTGCTTCATACAGGAAACCGAAATTGGGCATCTCAGTGTTCTTCAAAGTGGGAGGGGCATGGAGGCAACCTTTATCTCCATGATCTTCCTGCCATGCATAGGAGGGTTGGAGGGTTATGAAGAACCTCATTACATTGCATTGCCTATGTCCCAAGACTTACTCAGTAACAAATGACAGTAAGGCCAACCTGTGAAAAGCTTAGTCAGAAAGCAAAACATATATGTATGGAAGAAATAAGCAAACAAATTCATATATATTTCACTTCAATCTTTGCAGAAGTCAGTTTGTTCTTCTAAAATGATGTATGGTCAAAATGCAACTCTTTGACTTCATTTATTCTAGATAAAAGGTCATGGAATAGAGGCAGCCTGGGCTGGAGGTAAAAATGGCAGAGAAGTTATGGACAGACTTATTCCACTGGTGTCCGACCTGCTTTCAGCAAAAGGATTATTTTACTTAGTTACAATAAAAGAAAATAATTCAGGTAATACTATCTCCTTTTCTCCTCTGAAATTTCTGAATTCACTGAATCACTTTGAAAATATCTTAAACTGCATCATCTTCCATTTGCCCTGTTAAATCTTTTCAAAGATAGGAAATCTTTTGAGTAATTACATAGCCTCTTTAAGTCTTGCATGGGGAGGTGGTGTTATGCCAAACTGTTATCACTGCAGAATACAGTCAGAACTCTATTATCCAGTATGGCATCAGTCTGGCACTCTCCAGGTGTTTTTGACTTGTGCTTCCATCAGTCCAGTTAACATTATCAAAGGTTAGGAATGCTGGGAGCTGTAAGCCAAAACATCTGGAGGGTACCAGGTTAAGGAAGGCGCAGTATGGACTACCTGGCATTCTACTATTGCTATTTAATATTGTTACTGCAAGTGCTTATGGAAAACAGAAGGTCTTTCCTGCAGTACTCCCATAAGCAGAACCTCACCCCTCACCCTCAGTTTCACTGAGATGGGTCAGGACCATACACTGAGCACAGATTTCTGCAAAATGCATTTCATTCACAGATGGCCCTTTGTAGGTATATGTGTTCAATGTACACAGCTGGACTGGGTCCAGTGCAGTATGCAGAAGATAGGACCATGTGTGTCCTGGTTCCCTTTTATCAAATGTATCTTCATACAAGTAATGCATAACTGCAGCATTTCCCTCTAATAACCGGTTAGATTATCCTGACTCTCAGTGCTAAACAGGGTGACCAAAAAGTACTGCATTCTTTCCCAACCTGGTGCCCTCCAGATGTTTTGAGCAATTCCAACTATTACTATTCGGAAATTGGGAAAACCTGAGGTACTGGTGTCTTTAGGTATGCAGAAGTATATCTGTAAATTTTAAAAATCCAAATCATAGCTGAATACACATTTATGAGTTCTTAGTCCCTACAGAAGATTAAGGATGAAAGCACGGACAAAAACAGGAAAATTCAATTGGACAAACAGGGAATTGTATTGCTTGAGGTTCTAGCAGCCTATAGTTAACGTCCTTGAGTTTCTGTATTCTCAGCATAAGGAACAGAGGGAAGTCAGGACAGTAGAGGTTTAAGTAAAGGATTGGAAGAAGTACAAGTTTAGAATGTTTTAATGAAAATTGTATCCCCTTTTAATACTCATGTTATAGAAAACAGAAAAACTTGGCCATGTTAGGTAAAGTAGGCCTTTCAATGGTAGAGCCTTGCCTATTTTGTACACTCTCTCCCATAGCTGTTCCCTGTCACTGTTGATTAGTTACTTGCCATTTTCTGTATACTTTTTACTAGCCAAAAAGCAAGCAATCTAAAAAGGGAGGGGGTTGCACTATTAATACCTGAAGAATTAGGAATAAGAATACCTGACTGTTTGCTGTTTTAATTACAGATGAAATTATTGAAATATTACAGAAATATGGTTTGGAATGCACCAAAGTACTTTCCAGACAAGCAGGAAGAGAGAACCTCTCAGTACTCAAATTCTACAAGTCCTGAACATTATCTGTGGAACTGCCTTTCAAAACACAAACAAAATTGTAAAATTTAAACTATAATCACTGGCAGTATTTTTGCAGGCACATGAACTAGCTTTATGACTGGGTTGTACCTATCTAAAATAGAATGTACAGTGTTTACATATGCTTAAAAAAAGACTTGTGAAACGAATTACAAGTGTAATATTGAGTAAGCACAGTTGGTATTAGAATTCACTCATCTCCACAAGATAAGCTGCCAAAGAAATATTAAGGTGTACTGGTCATCATACCAGATTGCTTCCCTGCATGATTTGGTATTGAGAAAAATTTCTTTTACTGTTTACCCTCTCACTATTCAGAAACAGAAGTATTGTCTTGCTGAATCAAAGCAAAGGTGCATTTGGTACATCATCCTAACAGTAGCAAACCAGATGATTCTAAGACCCTCTCTGAATGATTTGGCCTCCGAGCCTCCTTCACAAGGTGTGCAGTGCCTTATCACTTGCATCCCTCTTCCTTCCAGTGGACAAATGAGTGGACAGGTGGTAGATGGGACAGGCAGACACTCAGTATGAAAGGCACTGATAAACCTACTCAGTGCTTTTTTTTTTTAAAGAAAACAGGTGCCAGAACTCATGAAATTATTTACCTTTCGCATGTAGTCAGTCACTGTACACACACCCACACACATCAGTTGTGTAACAAAACATAACAGTCACCGCCCACAGTAAGCACTCAACAGGCGGCCACATGACCAATCACAAGCCAAGCAGCGCCATCACAACCAGCGCAGACAAAGCACGCATGCATCGGATTCGACACACAAGCAGCCCGCATGCACCGTTTTAATGATTTTGCCGCCAACCTGCTATGCTCAACAGGGCAATTCAAATCCACATGGACCAAACATCAGATTTTCAAAAGTTACTTTTAAAACTTGGAAAATCTGTCAAAAAAGGTGCCGGAACTGTTCCAGTGCGTTCTATGACAAAAAAATCACTGAACCTACTCCACTACAGCTATATCCCTGCCATCCTGGAACTTACTCTCCTGGCTCTCCATCCTTTCTACCCAAACTGCAGGTGGGGCAGACCAAGCTGGCTCAGTATAAATGGAAGGAAATTTCCCTACTGGAGTGATGACTGTCAGCTCCAGCTAGCTGGACCAAAATACTGTCTCCAGCCACCTCCTTAAAAATAATGCATTGCACAGAGGCTGACCGTGCAGGTAAATGTGAATCTGCCAGAAGGCTGAGTCAAGGGAGTAAAGAACCATGGGGGCTTAACATTAGGATCTAAGAAGACTGCTTGATTGAAATACTTGGCCTCTTATTCATGTTCAACAATTTTAGTTGATTACTTGAACAAATTAATTATAGTAGTTATATATTTTAGAAGTGTCATACACAAGTGGACTGGTAATTAGCTACTATCTGAACAGAAACTGCTCAACTTTACACCTTTTTTTAAGTTCTAGAAGGTAGAGTCTCCCATTTTGCCATAACAACAAAGAAAGCAGATGCAGCTTTAATCAATCAGCTATGTAAATAACTTCATGTAAAAACATTGAACTCAAGCTTTCTTAATACAGATAGTTCTGTGTGTGCATTTTGCACTGACAGTTGTGCTAAGATTACAAAATAACACTTTATTATATAAATAATTAGATTATTATAATTTATAATAATTTATACCACCTATTAATGTATTTAATGTATGTTTCTCCTAAGAATCTATTCAGATCATTTTATTTCGCTTCCTTTTTTTATTAAACTTGACTGACCTCCTGTACATATATTCTACAGTTGCAACCTTTTTGGCAGCAGAGAAGGTAGGGTGAGCAATGTTCTTAAACACTAAATCTCCACAACTGCAACTCTGTTTGATTCAGTTTTCTAAAAAAGGATAGCTAAGTTCAAGATAGCAGTTTCACTGGAGTGAACGGCAGTTAGCTTAAGCATTTATCTCAGATCAAACCTATTGAGTAATGTTCCTATTCCCTTCTGTAGCTTCAGTACTGATTTTGATCATGACTTATAACTGAGTATGGTATAAATCTTTTCTTTATATAAGGAGTTTTGAAGCTGCTAAACATTTAGACCGCAATCCTATACACACTTATTTGGAAACAAGTCCTGCTGAACTTAATGGGACCCGCTTAGGAGTAGACATGCTTAGAATACGCTGCTAGCACTGTAATAGTTTGAAACAGGGTTAACCAAATGCACAAGTGATTGTTTTTACAGACGAACAGTTTTTCTCTGAAATGTGAGACTGCTTTAACGGAAAGAATAAATTAGGAATAATACAAAAGTTACCATGTATATTCTTGTATGTCGCATTGCTCACCAAACAACTTTTAATTTTTATTTGTAAATAAACAAATTAGTGTGATTCCCAGCTAAACCAAGGTGAGATTGTCTATTTATTTTGTTTGAGAAGTTCATTACAGCAAAGAAGGAGATATATTTCAGAAGAAGGTCTCTCGACAAAGTGGACAGGAAGACTTGTTACTAGATGTAAACCATTTGTACTAAAAAATAAAATGAAAAATAATTAAAACCAGTTTTGTTTGGCAGACATTTGATCTAAAATACCTAGACAAATAAGGTTTACTTGACTAGACATCACAAAATTCTGGAAAAAAAAATCCACTAAACTACACATTTTAGAAGGTAAAAGTTCTAAAGTTATCAGTCTACTTTTGTTTTCTTTGCACCAATGTGGATGCTTAAAGATTTATCTTAAAGGGCCCTGCCATATTTCAAAGACATATATGCCCTTAAGTATGTATGGCCATAGGACAGGCAAAGTACTCTCTCCGTGTTAGCTCTTCACCATATTCCCTAATACTGCAATTTAAGTAATTCAGCATTGATATATAACCTGCCTGGGAGTCAGGGTTCACAGAAGTCACATAATATAGAAAGCTACACAGTGTGACTTAAGCTACTCTACTCTGATGCTTCTCTCAGATGATTGGGCACATTGGGAGCAAGGTACCTCCTCCTCCAGCTTCCTAGCACAGCTATCACAGGATTCTGGAAGCTGCAAAGTTTCCTATTTTCCTACCACCCCCTGTCAGTCACAGTGGGAAGAGAAGCTGTCTCCTTTCAGCTGAAGCAACATCTTGCCGCTGGCTGGCTGTAGAAGCAGCAAAAGCCTCTTCCCCACCAGTGCGGCCAGCTTGAAATGACAGGTAGACTGTGGCTGCTTGTTGCTGACCCTGGCAGAACCACCTCTCTCTGCCTGACTCAGCAGCAGGGTGGAGGCAGGGGTGTTCAAACTCATTTTGGTTGGCCTTCTCCAGAAAAGACCGATCACAGTGCCCACTCCCATGTAGCACCACTTCAGTGCTTTAGGGTGGCTGTCATCGGCCACCCGATGCTGCTTGGCCAGCCCTGGGCTTAAAGTGTTGTCTGAACGCTAGCGGAAGCCATGGCTTGAGGGGTTTAGCTTAAAGACCCAGCAACTGGATTGATAAGCCACTGCCAAGGAAGCACATCCAGGTGGACTTAGTGTGCTGCATGAATCTAGTCATTATTAAAAATATATATTTTCTTAAGGTAGTTACTCATTCACTGCTCAGTCCTGCTAAAATGATAGACTAGAGCGAATGGCACAGAGACCTTGTATGTATCAATTTTGTGTTTTTCCTTTAAAGTATGGTTCAAAATTTGTTTATTTAGGTACTTACCAGACAGGCTGAATGAAACTTTTTCTTGCATGTTCTGCAAGCTTTTTTGGGGAGAGAGTAGTTGGAACCATGTATGACTGAGAAACAGATCATGCAATCTTCAACTCCTTCAAAACGTTTATCCACATTGTTTTTCCATAACGCTAAGCCTTCCATAATGCTTCCATTCTACAAGGAAAGGAAAGGAAAGAAAAGCATGTCCTGCAATGAATAATGCATTATTTCAAGTGTATGCAGTATTGTTGCAGTTCCATAACGACTCCACACTGGATCACAATCCTGACAAATATTTACAGGAAAGTTATATTACAACTTGTAAATATTTTCATTACTGCTGCCTACATCAGTGATTGCTTACCATAGTATTCAGCCATATCTGGTGACCAATTTACTCTATTCTTAGAATTTATTTGCAGTCACATTTTATAGGACAGGCAGGCATTCTAATATCTTATGCTGTAGAAATTTCTCGTTGCTCAAAAGGAGAATAGGGTTTTAGAACCGAAGGGGTTCTTCGAATCTAAGTAAATTGCTGGATTTTCTGAACGTTCTCTTTTGATCTCTCATCGATCCTATTCTGGTAAACTGAATGTCAGCTATGAGAGCTGGCAATACAGCTTCTCCATCCTCTTTTTCCAATTACATAGTCTGTTTAATTTCTGTATAAGCCATGTGGTGATGCCCATGTGTACAATCATAGGATTGCTTACCTGATGAATGTATTTATGATTGTTGGCTGAGTTGTTCTCCTGATACATTTCTTACCCCTCTGCCAAACTGTCCTACAACATGTGATTTTGCTTTATACTCTAACAAGCAGGGAAATGCTAGATGGCAAGTTGTCATGCAACTCGCTAATCACAAACTATGTTCATGGTCCCAATATTGACCAATCTGTAATTGCTTGAACATAAGCAATCTGCAAATCAGATCAAAGTACATGAAACACACCTGATGAGTGAGATACGTGCTCAACTGCAGCATCCAATTGCGCCACTGCTGAACTGCTACACCAACTCTCTTTCCACTCTCAACAACTATAGAGCCAAGTGGGTAATTTGGAGGAAGCTGTATTATCAGTTCAATAAATATATCGTCAACAGAATAAGTAGCAATGACTTCTCGAGTAGCAGATCGAGCTTTTACCTGTGGAAAAGCAAACGCTCAGTGGACAGAATACTTCTCACTTTCAAATAAGACAAAGTGTTAACTGTTTTTCACACATACGTAAGAACTACACTACTTGTACACATGCAAGTAGTGAACTTGCAATCCTCTTCCATCCTGCCACCTGAAAAAGCTGGTGTCCAACCAGGTCCAGTCCTCCCTCCTAATCCCTTTTTCTTCTGTACCATTTCTTGACTGTACACCTTCAGGCAAGATCTATTAGCTCTATAAGCTGCTCTGAAACCCTTTTTTGCTTGAAGGGTGGGATAAAAGTGCTATAAATAAATAGTCAAGAATGAATGGGTAATTCACCAATAGTAATACAAGATGGTCTTCATGGCCCCTTTCAGTATTTTCGACACTGGCCAGAAGGTAAGTGCTGAACTTGACTGCACAAATCATCTGCTACTGATTATTATACTGATCTTTACCATCTAAGGCCTTCTTCCAAGTGCAAACTCCAAGGGAGGCTCAGAGGCCGGGGACAGAGGTGGGGGCTTCTTAGTCAGGACTCCTGCAACTGTAGAATGAACTCTCCATGAGGCCTGCCTGGCAGCAATCCTATCATCTTTTTCGTGCCAGGATAAGACAGCCCCACTGTGCTGAGGCATTTTATAGATACTGAAAGGGTTTATTTTATTTTCAAATTTATTGCTCCTCAATAGCTGAACAGGACTCTCTAAGCAGCTAAACATATCAATATATAGCTCACAGTACAAGTACAGGGGGAGAGGAAATCTGTAGGGGCATGTTTTAACCTGGTTTTAAATTCAGATTTCATAAAAAAGAATGATTTTTGTCTGGTGCCAAAATGAAAGTAGAGTCAGTGCCAGGCGGACCTCTTCATAAAGCCTGTTCCAAAGGCTAGGGGCAGCCACTAAGAAGGCCCTTCTTCTAAATGCCATCCCTTTTACTTCATTTAGCCTATCCAATGGCTTGATGGGGTATCTACATCTGGTGTTTTTAAAAGAACTTTTCTGTATTAAATACTCTGTAGCTGCTAAATTGTTTTAAAAATTTAAACTATTTCTTAAATTTCTATTATGAAAATTTTTATGGCTATTTCTGCTATATAGACTTTACTCTGTTCAGTTACAGTTACTCTGTATCTCACAGAACAAGAGATACTTCAATGGTGTGGACTGCAAATGATAAGGTGCTCTAGAGCAATGATCACCTATTAATCCCTCTGGAAAAAACCTCACTCAGAGTTTTCACTTTGAGTGTCTGTGCTTCTAATAAACTTTCAAATTACATTGTCATTTATAATGTACTGTCATATATACCATACAATGAAATAAATGTATCTAGGTAATACCAACCATCATCCCATTAAATAACTGTGTACTGGTCTGCACAGAAGATATTTCTTGCGAAGAAAGGACACTGCTGACATATTTGCTTGTAAATTTATCTACAATGTTGAAGACTCGTTTCTCACAGCTATTCCACCAAAGGCGAACCATTGCTGGCAGATCTTTTAACGTCATACAGTAAACAGAGCAAGCCAAATGTGGGATGTGTGATGACAGCGCTGAGGTTTCTAAGGAACAAATGGAAAATAATTTGCAGAGACTGGAGCGGTTAAAGCATGCACCTTCCACAGTACTTTGTCAGTTACTCTTGCCTCTCAATAACATTTGAACCTATTTAGAAATAATTCTCAATGAGGCATCTTCCCAATTAAGTAGGCACAGGACTGCCAACAGAATCAGATACTTAGAAGTAAATCCTTTGGGAGAAGCTCGTGTCTACTATTGAGAAATTGAGCTGTTTCTGTGTCATAGGCAGAGACACAAAGAGAACAACTGTACACAAAGAGAATGACTAGCCTCTGCCTTCCAGTTCATCTCTGTTTTCCTCTCTGTGTCAATATCTGCTCCCAATCTTAAGGGAAAATTAGACACAGAGAGAGGTGAAGGCAAGAATTATCTGTGGGTAAGCACTCCAGCCTTTTAATAAAGCAGGCTGGGGTGTTTATTCATTAAACTTTTTGCTTGTGGGAAAGGGTGTCAGATGCATAGAAATGCAGAGAATAGCATAGAACCTATTTGCAATTTCCTACCCTAGGACTGCAGGGGACAACATTCTTTATGTAAAATATTTAGGGAAGTTGGTAGCTCTCAAAGAAAGCTCACATTTCTGCACAACAAAATCTTGAACTCTGAACCTTGTTTGAGAAACATCCACCATGAGGTACAGATGTCACCAGGCATTCCCATTATGATGTAGGAAATACCCTAAGAAAAACAGCTGATGTAGCCGTGCCAATAACTGGACTAGGTGTAATTAATTTCTGTGGGATGCACAGTAAACCCTGTATTTTTCAGGAATTACATTTTCCTATCCTTGCATTTGTTAGACTTATGATCCATGTATTAATATTTTCTTTCCAAGGAACTCAAGGTAACATACATAATTCTCTCATTCTAATCTTCCCAACAACCTTGTGAGGTAGGTTGGGCTGGGAGTCTGTGGGTGGCCAAAGTTACCCAGTAAGCTCCATAGCTGAGCGGGGACTAGAATCCAGTTCTTCCAAGTCCCAGTCCAACCCTCTAACCTCTACACTACATTTCCAGTTATAAATACAACTGGAAATAGAGAAATATATTAATCCCCTGAATGACATGGGCCAACAATAGCTAACTTGTGATGTCAAAAAAGGGTTTTAATAGTGAGTATAAAATATATTTAAGCATTTAAAAATTCACTAGATTGCAACAAAGATTAAGATCTGTTGCCCTGACCTTTGATGTCTAAATCAAGCTCTTCTGTAAAGTAGGTTTTTACATCCTTATTTGGAAGGTCAGCTGTTGATCCTGGGAAGGCTGGGTTTTCTGGCATAAGCCTGAACAGGTGACACAACAGTTTATTCAAACTCTTAGTTCTTCGTAGGTATTGTGAGTAAAGAACTCGCAGCTGTTGGTAAAGAAAAATCATTCTCAATAAAATTTGTTCCCAGGAATTAATGAACAAAAAGAATGTACACAATGAAAGGTTGTATAGAGGTTAGATGGGAGGGTTCTTTTATGAAGAGTTTTAAGATCACTAATGGTTTCTCACCACTCAAGCTATTTTTAAAAAGGTAAAAATCTCAAATGCATATTCCTATGAAACAACTGAGTAAAGTTCTCTGGGCATAATGACAGTGTCATATGCTATACAATGAAAAAACAATGAAGAAGAAGTACATCATACAAAAAGTGCATATAACAAAACATTATGCTACACTAGACACCATCAGTGCTGGTGCAATAGCCATCCTTTACTTGCACAGTTGGTAGGATACGAACAAATTGATGCACAAGAAAAACTGGAATAATGCATTCTTCCACACTATGTAAAATATTGGTAATTGTGTTCAAAGCCTATATAACCTGCAGCAGTTTGAAAACCCTTAGCTGCCATCAGTCCCAACCAGCAAGGACTTACAGTCCAGCAATACCGGATGGGCCACAGGTTTCCTGCCAAAGCCTGAGATCATATTCAATATATGTTATTTGCCCACCAAAGTTTAAAGGCCTTTATGATTATAGCTAATATCTCTAAAAGCAAGCACTGTAACATAATGGCTAGATAAAAGACAAGAGAGAACTCATTCATGCAAGGTAGTCTTCCTGTTAACCAGGTATGAAAATAAAAAGTGCCCTATACACTTTCAAATTTTTTCTTCTCCAGCTGGAAGTGTGAGCTCCATAAATGCAGATTGCACAAGATATTCATCTGAACAGGCATGAGAATGACTACAACTGTTTTTCAATAAATGAGAGTCCTTTCTTTACATTGACTACAATGATGATTGTGTGAATATTGTTAAAACAAATAGTTTGAAGATCCATTTTCAGATGCATTATCTGCTGTATGTGTTTATTCTTATGTATTAGCATTGACTGGTTTCAAATAATGCATTTTAAAATTTCCTGCTAGTGACAATTAGGATGAGCATGAGCTGTGTAAAAATCAGTATCATAGCAAAACTGGATTATCCCTAGAAAGATGCAGAGAAGTATGTATGATTTACCTGAGAAGATGCTGCCTTGAAGAAAGTTAATATTAATTTCCAAGTAAGCAGGTATCCTAAAACAAGACAAAACTCCTCACTCAGTGGCTGAACAGCTGCAAACTCTCCAACTGGAATGCATTCTAGGATATTTTCTAGTAAGTCTTCTTGAGCAGTGAGAACAGTCATAAGAGCTGCTGGTGGAGACCTAAAATAAAGGTAGAAAGGTGAACACTGATCAGTTTCTTTGTTCACATACTCACATCAAACTATGTAAACACATTAAATGAAGGTCCCAGGGAAGTGAATGGAGGATTTCTTCTCCCCTAAGAGAATAACATTTCATGTCATTTTCAGTTCCTTCTTCCCAACAAGGAATGTGCTACCAAGAAGATACAAGAAGTTCTTCATTCCACACTTAATCACATAGATTCATTTGGAAGTTAAGCCAATCCTACTGATTTTGCCAAGAGCAGGGAGCAATATAGCTATGGAGCAATCTGGGATGAATAAAGGACATATAAGCACACATCCCCTAAGTAAGGATCACAGCTGCATCTTCTCATTTATGACTTTACAAACCAAATTTATTTATTTTATTTATTTATTAAAACATTTTTATGCCGCCCCATTCGCCGAAGCCTCGGGGCGGCTTACAACATAGCAGCAAATTTTCTGCTTCGCTGAAGCATTTCCCTATGCAAAATTGTAAGAGAGAGCAAGGGAGCAACATGCAGTGGAAATGCCTGTGATGGCAAAAATGGCAATCTTCCCCAGACAAAATCAACAAAGGTGGTAAGAATTTCTTGGCTGGCTTGTGAATCTGATCATTCATTCATTCATTCATTCAAAACTTTTGTGTGCCATCCCATCACTGACGTCTCCGGACGGTTGACAAGAACACCAATAAAACAGGATTAAAAGATAAAGTAGCACAGCATCCAATAATAAATATAAAACCCCAAATTTAATTAAGCAATTAAAATTGTGGGAAAATAAAAAGATTCCAAGGTACTATCCCATGTCCTTCATTCCCTCCAGTTTATGAAAGAGGCTATTCTTTGGTAGCATTACTCTTGGCTTCTTGGATGCTCTCAAACCCCCTTACAACATCAAGGTATGTATTCAAGAAGGTTACAGCTAATAGTCAATACTTTGCTTTGCTTTAAAACTTTAGGGAGGAAATGATTTTCAAGAAGTATCTCCCAAATTTCATCTCACATCTATACTAGACCTAAATTTCTCAGTAAAAGTGAACTTGACACTTCTACATAAAAAAAAAACACATTGACATTATAGCTTAAGTTCTGTACACTTCCCCTATATGTAAATTTTCAAATGCTACATATTTTACAAGGACTCTGAAGAGATGATTTCAATTTCTGGTACAAAAAATAATATAAGTAATACAAAATTGAAGATATACCATACCATGCCCACTTCTGCAAAATTCCCACTAAAGGACTAGAAGGATTCTGTATTTCCAATGAAATTCAATGTTTCTCATCTTTAAAACAACATAGTAAAGGTTTTTGCAACTGCTTAATGAAGCACTTTAAATTCTACCATGATAGCATAATTAATCATAAAAATAAAAGGAAACATACAGCAATAGTTCCTCTTCTTCATCACCATAGGATTTGAGAGCCTCATTGTCAAATTTAGGCAAATCAGACATTAATCTAGCATTTGAGAGAAAGAAAAAACACATTTTTATGGCCCAACATTTATCTAATTCTAGAAAGTGAGCACATTATTATGCATTATAATTATCAGTTTACAGACATGCATGGCTTCTGTGCATTAGAGTGAAACTGGTACCTCAATCCTAAACATCTATACTGGTAATAACAGTATTTTTCTAATACTACGGTTGCATTCCTATCATTCATCTTCCGCATTAGCACTAATATTTCTTTCACTAGATACTGTATACAGTGAAGGAAAACCCACAATAGCTCTAACTCTGAGAGGTGGAGGGGCAGAGGGAGGAAAAACTGTCTATGCTTGCCTTTCCTGCTCACCTTTATGACCACATTAGTATGTTCTCCTGAAACAAGGGTAATAAACCTCAAGCAACCCTCACATGGGTTTCCCAGATGGCCATGCCCACTTCCCTCACTGCAACCATTTTGTGGTTTCCTAGCATTTGTACAGCTTTTCCCTCATCCCAAAAATCCAAACTACTCTCCCAGCGAGCACTTTAAGCTAACATATGGTGGTACTCCTATTTTGCCTTTGGCCCCATCCACCACTGGAGGAGAGATACAGTACAGCTCCCAAGTCCTTCTCTGTATTCAGTCCCCACTCTACAAGCTGCTTCTATACAGAGAAATAGTTGACAGATCTAACAGGATGCTAAAGGACAACAGTGCAATAAACACTGGTCCTTCTGAAGAAAGGCAACATAGCAGATGCGACTGCATAAACCCTATTACCATTATTAATATTATTATTTAAATTTCTATAGTGGCCCATAGCTGAAGCTCTCTGGTTGGTCTATACAGTCCATAAACACAAATTATAAAAATACAATCAACATGTCAGAAAAAGTAAAAAGTTTAAAACAGTCAAAATAAAAATCAAATAGTACAAAGAATAATTAAAAAGAGTGACAGCAACTCCAGCTCATCCCCCTCAAACCTGACTAAGTCCTTAAAAGCCTCAGAAAAGGGGACTGCCTTAAACTGGTGCCAAAAAAAAGGCCAGATTCCATGTCAGGCAGGCCATAGTGGGGAGGTTATTCCATAGATGGGGGGCCAACACCAAGAAAGCCTTTCCCATAGTGGCCCCGCTCAGCACCACCCTCAAAATTGGCACTTGGAGGAAGGTCCCTGAGTTTGAGCGTAGTGTCCAAGCAGATCACAGTTAGGAGATGTGCTCTGACAAGTACTGTAGTCCTAAGCCATGTGGGACTTTATAGGTTAAAACCAGCACCTTGATCAGTAGTGTACAGGCAGTAAATAGTGGGCCAGAACCAGTCCTACGTGTTTGGATCTTTGGGTCCCACTTGTTAATTTGGCTGATGTATTCTGCATCAGATGCAGCTTCTGAATCATTTTCAAGGGTACATTAATTTAGAGATTACCAGAGCATAGATTACTAAAGCCAGGTTATCCAAGTCCAGGCAGGAGCACAGCTGGGCCACCAGCTGAAGCTGGTAGAAGGCATTAAAGGCCACCAATACCACCTAAGCCTTAAGTGACAAAAACAGATGAAGAAGCATCCCCAGGCTCAAGGAAGTCATTTTAACGTTGGTCTATTTTCAATGGAAATACACCCCTATATTAGGCTTATGGGTGTGCACCAGGGTAGGGTTTAGGTTACAAAAATGAGGTATCCTGGAATGATTTTGATGGTTGGAATGTGTTTAGAATGGGCAGAAATGAAGAGCTGCACGGAACAATCTCCTCAAGGAAGACTTTTTCAAAATTGGCCTATTTTCAATGAAACTATCCCATCTAGAACAGGTTGAACAGCCCCCCACCCCCCATCCAGTCAAAGGAATCACCTACCAACAGCATCTCAGTGTTGCCTGGATTGAGTTTCAGGCTGTTAGCCCTCATCCAGTCCACTGTTTAAGCTAGACACCGGTTTAGCATGCAACTCAGAAATTCCCTACTGTATCTTCCAAACCCAAAGCAGGCACAAAACTCAAGGAACACTTCTCAGGTTTCCATCTGGGGGAGCTGAACACTCCAGCTACTACTGTATAAATAACAGAATATGTTTGTGCATCATGGTTTAACAGTAGCACTCATTATGCTAACCCAGTCCCTGGTCTTTTTCCAAATGTAACTTTTAATGATGAAATGAAAAATGATACAAGCCGACAGCCAACAGTGCTAAGAAAATAACTTACTCATTTAACATGTGGTATACTATGATTTGCACGGGTCTAGATCTGAAGAGCAGTAAAGGAGAAAGCGTATTTAACAAGGTCTGTAGTTTTTCAGGGAGGTTTGTCTTCTGGCCAGCAACAAATTTGGCAGGAAGTTTATGATTCAGTAGTTGATCCTTTGATATGTACGTTAAAGCTTTACCCAAAGATTTCAATATGGAGTCCTGAAATGATGCTTCCAGGGCATCTTTTTCTTTTCCTGTTCAGAGCAACATACAAGCCATTTATTTTTTTAATCAAGTTTGCAAATTTACACAACCATTTATAGAACTACCTAGCAAAGCCTTTCCAAAATGCCAGAGGAATATACTTTACTGTTTAAAATACCAGATATTACATGCGTCCCTCAATCAATTCCAAAAATGGAAGTATTCATAAAGCATGTATAAATTCTAAACTTCTCACAAATAACAAACGATTAACCAGATCAGGAGATGTATATGACAGAATGTGTGATAACACATTAAGTAAACAAGTATGGAAGTGAATGAGTTTTCATTGTGTTGTGGCTTTATTTATTCATTTATATCCCACCTTTTTTCAAGGAAGTCAAGCTGCCTTACATAATTATCCTTCTCCTCTTAATCTTACCCTCACAACAATTCTGTGAGGTAGGCTGGGCTGAGTCTCTGACTGGCCCAAAGACACCCAGTGGGCTTTATGGCTGAGCGGGGACTAGAAATCATCTGAGTCTCAGACTTGTGCTATTAACCACTACATCATCACAGGATCTGTTGAGTCTGTTTTAAGAGACCATGAAAGGACAGGCAGGAAGTACTATTTAGTGGTGACAATTATTAGATACTTCTGATCAAACAGAATTGTACTATGACTATTCTATGTCCTTAGATGTTTATATCAATCTGCCACCGTAAGAGGTAGTAGAGCAGAGTTTAAGATGCATTAAGAAGTACATACCCCTCTGCATGTTAAACCATGCAGTCATAAGACATCAAGGTTTCATTTATCCTGAGAAGGGCAATAATGAAGCTGATACTCTGTTTAGACAAGGAAGAAGCTGAGAATGGGGAAGTGTAAAGTATGAATGCCTTGACAGCATGTCCAGAATGCTTCTCTTTTAGTACTGGGGACCATCCTGGAAACCATGACTAAAGCTTATATTTCTGTCTCAGCCCGGCAGCTGAAGTGATATGAAAAGAAATTTCACTTCCAAAATAATGTGCCTAAGTTTTTATCAGTAATTTTCTCCTACTACATCTATTAGGCTACAACCCTGTATCTGCTTACCTTGAGTAAGAACCACTGAACTCAACTGGCCTTACTTCTGAGGTGTACATAGGAAGCACTGTTAGTATACTTATTTGTAACAGACTTACTTGTGACTTTTACCAACAAAGGTAAAAGTAAACTATGAATGCCTTCAGAAAAGAAGTCCTGCCATTCAGTTATGAGGTTTGCTGGAAGTTTTTCAATGATTTCAGGAGTTGCTGACTGGAAATATGAACTCAAAGCAGCACTCAGGTCACAGCTGACACTGGCAAATACTTCCACCAACACAACAGGAAAGACAGCCTGGCTGTCACTCGTTGTCTACAAAAGAACAAAATCGAGAGAGGCGTTAATTCTTTTGCATTTGTGGAATTTCAGCAAAATGTAAGACCAATTTAAGATAACAATTTCTCTCTGCATCGTAAGTTACACATAGGCCAGGTTCACACAAATTAGCCAGGTCAACCTGATTTATTTCACTAAGGATGAGCTGCAGAGTGAGCTGGTATCATAAACAGCCCTTCCTTTCTTATTCTTCAACTCCAAAACACACCATACAGTCTCTCTGCAGTTTATTGGCTCTTTGCAGTTACAAGACAAAGCAATTTTTAAAGCCCTCTACAAGTTTAGAAGCTAAGCCTCTGCTCACATCAAGATAGTTGCTGAACCCAAACTAGGGACTTCACCCCAAAAACCTTTCCTTTCGGTAACTCTGGGGGCTCTATCCTCAGGGTAGTTCCTGCTGATGAAAGGCCAACCGACAAGACCTATGCAAGCTCTCTAACTGGACAGCTCATCTCTTGTAACACCTCGTCATCCAGTTAGGGTCTGAGCAAGGCAATGATTCTCCCTCCTTCCCTTCTTCAACCCCTCCCATCCCTTCCTAAACATTCCTGTCCTCCTGGTCTTCCTGGCAACCTGTAGGTGAGGCCTGTGCCTCTCCCTGGGTTCCCAAAACTGACATTTTCCTTTCTCAAGGTCCCCTTCTTCCTCTTCAGAATCTTGGTCAAGGTGACCCTAGGATGCCCACCAAGTGGTGGTCAGCTGCACTCACTACATCTGGATGTAACCCCTTGATTGGAGGTTGCACATGTTATGTGAACCTAGCAATTATGGGTTATTCAAGAAAATTAAACAACTCCCTTGTAGTGCTTAATTAGTAGTAGGGTTACATGGTGGTTGTCTAACCCTTAAATAACCCATAATGGTCAGTTCTGCATGACACAGGTTGTATATTCAAAACTGCACACACACAGTGGTGCACTGTGAGTTAAATAACCCACAGTAAGTAGGCCATGTCATGCAAATAGGTAAGCATTCTGCATTCACTATAAATAGGTTTTCTATAACACATCAAAGCAAATTCTTTAAGTATGTGCACCAAGAATAGGTTCAAATAATCAGTTTTTTTCTCTTCAAACTTACCTTCTATATCTTAGCCTTATTTAATTTAAATTGCATTTCCCTGTATTTTTATTCCTTCTTCTTTGTGAACAGGGCAATTAATTACTTATGGGCCAATGCATTTTGGTAAAATAAAATGTCACTAATTTCTGCAGACTTATGCTGCAATGCAAAAGAACTGCTAAGCACCACTAATTTCAGTTCAGATAATCTTGAAGTGTTCTGGAAATTTTCCTCCATAAAAACTGGAAAGATTTAATATAGGCAGTAATATCAAATAATCATAGAATGGTCTTGTTTAAGTTTATATGGCAGGCTGTTGACAGCACATTTTACATTTACAAAAGGCAAGAAGTGCCACCCAGTGGATTCAAAAAGAAAATATAGCAAACTATTTATATAGAGGTCATATCATTTCTCTCTTTATATTTACTTACTTCTAACCATGACAGCATGGAACACATGACAAAATCCCATTCACTCTCCAGCAAAGAGGAAGGATTATTTAACAACAGAGAGAGAAAACGGATCATTTCTATATTGAAACCAAGTAACTCTGGTTTTCCATCTTGTAGATTGCTGATGGGAAAGTAAGAAAAGATCAGAAGCTTCATTTATGAAATACATGGATAAGTCAATACTAACTTTTGTTTCACAACAAAAAGGAACTACCTTAATGAAAAAGGTAGAAAGCAACAAGGCAAATTAACACACAAACAAAAACCCAATTATTATTATCTAGAAATCTTGTCTAATTTTTAAACCATTTCTTAAAAATAACAACAACCAGTGGTAACAAGAAACAAAGCTAGTTAATAGTGAAGGTTTAATACTCCAATATTGAACAGCCTATTCTTTGTAAATCAAGGCTGACATGTTTCTTCAACTACACAGAGTTAACATATTTTAAAACTTTCAATAGATGAAAGAGGTGTCACACTGTTCATTTTATTATTTATTTATTTATTTATTAAAACATTTCTATGCCGCCCCATTCCCCGAAGCCTCGGGGCGGCTCACAACATAAATACAAGAATAACAATATAAAACTAACAATATAAAATAAGTAACAATATAAAAGAAGTCGCCCTGGCCAGATAAATAAGCAAATGCTGTTAACAATTAAAATGACGCTTAAATAAAAAGGTCTTCGCCTGGCGCCGAAAAACAAATAACGACGGTGCCAGGCGGACCTCTCTGGGGAGCGCATTCCATAGATTGGGCGCCACCGCTGAGAAAGCCCTCCTCCGAGTACCTACCCTCATAAAGACTGTGGAAGACAAATGCCATCTTAAAAGGCATCCTTCCTGCTCTCACATGTAGGATGAAAATATGTTTAAGATACTCTGACAAAACAAGAAAGCATGCTTTTTGCTTCAGAAATATTAATTACTTTTACACAAATATAAAAATGATTGTCTAAAATGAACATCAATTTAAATATATTAAATTGGTTTGCAGTCCTATTATACTCATAAATATTGCTAGTTCAAACATTCATATTAAAATTTATAGCAAACTGCCCACCAACTGAAAAGAAAGCTGTCCTCATATTCATTTCTCCAGGATATGATGATTTTTAATATTCCAGGCATTAGTTCTCCACAATCAATGCTTCCACAATTCAAGCAGGAATTTAAAATAGCAAGATTTCCAAAAGCTCCTAAAATAGAATCAAATACTTGGTTAAAATGGCCACATTAAATCTCTGAGAATATAAGAATAGCAGGCAAATAAAAACAGGGACACGAAGTGAACAGTTGCAGCTGGATGAAAGATCAGAAAAATCTAGCAGCAGCAGCAGGAAGTAGGTTCAGTGCTTCATAAAGTTCTGGTTTTAAAAAGACCTCCATCTTCCCATCAGTGTGATAAATTTTTGCAGGAACAGGCTGAACTACACACACAGTGCAAGTCTGTACAGTTGTGGCTCCAAAGCTGCTATTTTTAATCTATGTCTAAGCATCATCATTGCAGGGATAAAAGTGAAAATATGATAGGATGTGTTAATAAGAAACAAAGGGGAAAATAAGATGCATATCTTTCCCCAGGCTTCATGGTTTACATGTTGACAGGTCCAGTTTCTGAATTGGGATTCACTAACTTAGTGAAATATGTCCTTTAATGCTTATGATTTGCCACCTGCCATATAAGGGTATAAACTATGGAGGAAGGCTTACTCAAGAGGAGAAGTGGTTATGGTCCACAATCCAACCCCTTGGCCAAGTTTTTCTTTTATGAAAAGAACCTGCATCTGAGCAAAGAGAAAAGAACTCCAGTATCACTGTCCAAAGGTCAAGTCAGGTAAGAAGGTATTTTATTGTGCTTTCTCCTTACTTTGAGACATTCTAGGCAATGTACCTAACTCTACCCTTTGCTTTCTCTTCAGCACAACCCTGTGAATAAATCAGGCTGAGATACAGTAGCTGACCCAGCAAGCTTCAAGGCCAAGCAGGGATTTAAACTGATTCTCTTTAGTCTTAATCCATCACCCTAAATCCAACAAACTGGCAATACAACATGCAAGTTTAAATTCAGCATATTGACTTGGACTGAAAAGATGCATGAGCAGAGAAACATTACTGCTTCTGCAAGATGCCCCTTTCATATTTTTGCCGAAGCCCCTTTATCAAGTGTTCTTTAGGAAACTGCCCCTGAGACTGGGGAACATTACAGAACAGCACAAAATGCAAAATGGGAGCACTGCCATGGGTAAGAAGTAGCAGTGAAATACAGGCACCAGCTTCTCACAAGGAGGTGAAACTTAGGCACCTGCCTGCATATGGCACTACAGAGCCCAAGTCATGAAACGCAGCTACATTTGCAAACAAGTAATGGCTTTCTCCTGCCTGGTGCCCTTCACATGTCTTGGACTTCAAGTAGCATCAGTCCTAACCAACATGGCTAAAATTCTGCAAGTTGCAGTTCAAAACACCTGGTGGGTACCAGGCTGGACAACATTACTTTTTTACTTAACCAGTTAAACATCTTTAATCTGTCCAACTTTTCTGATTTTTGACTATTGTCCAGTCTTCCTGACAATCCTTGAGAACAAGTGAGAGACAGAAAGAGAAACTGACAGAGAAATCCAAAGCTAAGTTGTTAAATCAACTGTTAAAAAAACAGAACTAATCTAAAACTTCTATGGCTATTTGTTAAATGTTCTTTCTCTCAGAACTTTTCTTAAAAAATACCTCATTTAACTAGCTGGAAGATTCTTTTGCAATGTAGGTGATAATATGCACCTTGGAATAAAGCACTTCAGTGAAATAAAGATTATGTAGGACAGAATTGATGGCTCTTCAAAAGCATTTTTTACTGTCATGAATGATGGTAATAATTCTTAATGGCAAATGGAGATCTTATTAAATGTGTGCATTGAAAATCCTACCTCTTACAAGTAAATGTAGCACTGCAGATAATATTTAAGACACTGACCATCAGTAGTGAAGAGTTCGGTTTCACTGCACGTCATTAGTTTAGCAGTACACTGAAAGACAAGCTCGTCCTTATCTTGCTCAGGTAAAAATCGAGACAAATGTTGAAGTGTGTGCAGGCTGCCTTCCGTTAATGGAAAAAACCTGTGCATACAAATGAGATAATAAGGAAATCAATCTGATGTCCACTACCGATGCAATGCAAAATAATGGTGGCAAAGAGTAAGATGATGTCATTGGATGCTTTGTTGCAGAATTGTATAAAGTACAGGACTGGTCCATCCATATACAAGCAAGGCAGTGAACAGGCACAGAAACAAGAGAAGACAAACAGAGAAGACAAAGACATGTTAGGAGTATTAAAATGTTTTACAACAAAATCCATTCTGGCAATTTTGTATGATCCCACACACATTTGCCCGATTCAAACTAAAGTTAGTTTGTTTCAACCAAACCTATCTAATTTTGTACAAGCGCCAGGTGCACTGCAGTATCATTATGATCCTGTACTCATCATGATAGATGGACATTTCCTGGAGAGGAGGAAGGTCCATGTTACGCTGTAGGTTCAATTTGTGAAGTGACACAATTGCGAATTCTGTCATTACCATCTGATTTCAGACTATAGCACTGCTGGCCCCATCATCCCACAATATAAGCCAATCAGCGCAGGCCCTTCTTCTAATTTCCTTCTAACTGAACAGTGGTAGCAAACACAATCTAAGAAAAGGTGCAAAACTTACTATCATACCTTTCTGTATTATTGAAAAGTGCTTTTATCTTGCAAGTTGAAATTTTCTCTGTATCTATCAGTTTAGCCATGGTTAAAGCCCAGAGTCGTCCACTCTCTTTTGATCTATGAACAGATAAAAACATGTTATATTATTGTTAGGAATAAACAATTTACTGACATATAACCTTTAGCTCTAGAAGGTGATATCCAAATACACAGAACTAAGACTTTATGCTTTCTACTAAAGCTATGTGAAAATTTTATTGATTCTTCCCCATACTTACCTACTGAATAATATTTGTAAGAGGCAGGGGATATAACTGTATGTATGTAATTTTTCATATGAGACGCTCATTACTTCAGGGAGATTAAGAAAGTCAAGAAGCAGGCAAGGTGGGTTGGCCAATTCTTCAATCCATTGTAAAGCATACAGCTGTTCTACAACTAAAAAACAAACAAACAAACAAACCCAGAGGAACATCTGAGCAGGATAATCCAGCATATGTATCCCTTTTAAAATTTGGTAAAAATTATTAAATAAATCAATCCAAACTGTGAAATGTATACATTCACGATCATAAGGGGACCCTACCAAGTATGCAATCTATGGGCTATTGTGGGATCATTGGAGGACAATTTCTCTTTCCAACAAGCCATGCTATGTGGGTTCAGACAACATGGCAAGCTGTGTTTGGGCAGTGTTTATGGAAAACATGCCCTGCACAGACACACTTTGAGTAAGCCACTGTGGATTTTTTTTGATCATGCAAATCAGGTCATTTTTGTACAGACTACTATAATATATATGGCATTTTCAGCTGTAATTTCATAACTTCCTATAACATTTGTTATGCACAGAGAAGTATAGCTGAGAGATAGTGGTAGGCCTCTGTCTCTCTCTCCTAACTACAATATGCTATTCACCAATTTTCACTACGTTATACTGGGCAAGAGCTCCTTACTCGTATAGGAACTTTAATGACACGGAAAGCTTTCATATGCATAAATACATTAAATTTCCCATTCATTTCAAAAGAAGCACCAAGAGTAGTCAAACTAACTCTTTGCCCTGCCATTGATGCAAATACAAAATGGGATTATGTGGAGGTCTTTGAGTGCAGTGGAATAAACACAGTGCTTTGTCTCAAAGCCACATGTTTCAGAAATATGCCTATGCAGCAAATTACAGTGTGAATCATATCACAGAAAGCAGAACAAAATATAACTCTATTAAAAGCCTAATATGTCCTTAATAATTTCTAATTTTTAAAATAGCAGTTTTCTGATAAGGTTTATTTAAGATATATATATATAGACAATTCTATATTGGTTGATATTAAAATAAAATTAAATCACAAAGAAACATGTTTTTAAAGTTTTATTTTTGTAAATTTATTTGTTGTCACTTACTGATATTTTCAAATTTGCTTCTTTCAGCTTCATGGTTTTCAAAAACTATCCCTTTTTCCAATATCAATAGTACCATTCTACTTAAGAGAGCTGCAGTACACAGATGGCTTGGAAGTTTAGTCATTACACAAAGCTTCAGGTCTGTTCCAGGTATCTCACAATTCATGCTCAATCTTCCTTCCAAAAGCGGTTTCCTTAACCACTGTAAGAATTCATTAAAAAAACTTAAGCAATGTTTTTTATTAGGATCATACAAAATATACAATATGACACCATTAGCAAGTGCTTCACAAGTTTACTGCAGTTGGTCTCAGATGACTCCTAAATGTCCTTGGGGCCTGCATGTATTAGGCCCCAGACAATCCTAGAGAACTCTACTGGCTAACAGAAGATTGAATGGAAGCTTTTTTAGTTATGCAAGCCATCTCATCAACTATTATATCATAGATGAGGGAGGTCTTATTGTGCACTGATCAGGCATTCAAAAACAGCATCTGGGAAGACTGTCACCAAACCTGCAGTTGAGAGCAGAACATGGCACAATTGTTAACTGCCAGAGCCACATTTCCCTTACCTGGCTAGCCCTCCATCCAATGCCATATGTGTCCCTACTGGTCACTATACTAATTGTTCTCCCCAATCAGGACCCCCACACACATATACAGCACATACAGAGGGCCTGTGAAGAGGAACCCCGTTCGCGAACACAGAGTAACAACAGCGTTGGAGATGTCTTACCCTCAAGTTTCCCTCAACGTGGCTCCCCCACAAAGGGTGACCATTCACACAGTAGGAATATCATATTATCAGATGAATAACTGACTGCAGTTTAAACTAGCACATGAAATTTGCTTAAGAGAAATTTGCGACACCTATGCTGTGCTCTTTTTGGCAGCAAGGAAAGACCTTCCTATTTCCTAGGCATTTTAGTAATTCAGTTTCTATTATTTTGAATCTGTTACTGAATTTCACATTTTTGCATTGCTCCTACATTTTATTTGGTATTATTTTATTTTATAATGCAGTTTAAAACTAAAGTTTGTATATTGTATCTTATCATGTTGTATTTTAGGGCTTTGATTGTTGTGAACCACCAAAAGAGTTTCAGCTATTGAAAGATATAGAAATGAAATAAAAATGAATGAAACAGTTGCCAAGATACATATTTCATTCAATTAAAACTTCTTGAGCTATTCACTGTATGGTATATTATTACATTATGTTAGGAGACCTTGTTAAACCAAGAATAAGACATAGAAATCACTTTAGTCTCACAGTTGCAACACTAACATCGTAAGGTATGAATTGGTCCTAGTAATCCTAAATCCACAGTGGCAAAAAAAAAAAAAAAAAAACGCTATTCAAATCTTGCATTAGGTTTACTTCTTAAAGTAATCTACCACAGAATTCCTCAAATACATGAATTCGATGAGCAAATACTAACTATCACTATGCATTGTGCAATGACATAGAAACCTATATACCTCACTAGACAGAGATTCCCGTAACTTTTCCCATTCCAGCTTGTTTGGAGTGAGCCATTCAATATAATCTTTCAAAATACAGGCAGAAACTTCACCAGCTACCATGAGTTTAGAAAATAAGTCAGTGACCATGGAGACCAAAACCTGAAAACTGAGAAGAGACCAATATTTTAGAGAATAAGACATGCAAATAATCAAGTAATATCAAAGTAGAATGTATTGAAGGCTCCTGCATTTTCAAATTCATGCAGTTAATACTTAGATAGTATTGGGCAGTACAGAAAAAATAAATAAATATGCACAATGGCTGCTTTTGGGTTATTACAAGACTGAGCGACAAGCTTATCCACTACCCTTTCCCTTCTCTTGAGTTGTGGGAAATCTGGAAGCTTTCACTTCCATTTTAGATTACATAATTGCATCAGGCTGGAACAGAGAAAGAAAGCAAAACATGGTGACCTGCTAAAAAGTTACTGTCATTAGCAACCTTCACCTCTGTCACCTGGCAGCAGCCATTACACTCGGCACCACTGGCATCCTCCCCCTCCAACTGAGACATGTTGTAAGCCGCCCCGAGGTTTTGGCAAGGGGCGGCATAGAAATGTTATAATAATAATAAAAAATAATAAATTGCATTGGACACAAGGAAGGACTGAAGGAAGGAAGGCCATCGGTCCTACTGAAAAGCCACCTTCATCAGGATGCCTATAATTTTATGTTCACATTGTATAATAATATAGATGCCCTGAGAGCACAGTGTGTCCTGGAAGCTGTGGAGTCAGTACATAAAACCTTCAACTTCGAGTCCTTTATTTATATATCAATATAGGAAATAAAGAACTAGTATATTTATTTCCTATATTGACTGAAAGCACTGAACCTACCAGGCATTTCAACACAGCCAATGTGAATCATCAGGGTACTTTTTAGAACCATAACTTGAAAAAATTGGTTAATTGAATTATCCGTGAAACAGGACATTTTAACATATTATTTATATTACAATTTACATTTATTAGGAGTCACAGCTGGAAGCAGCACATTTTTACCAACTCTGACTTCAGTGAGCCAAGAGTTGTTTCCAACTCCTACTTCATGTCTCCAACTACACAGCCCTGCTTAAAAGGTGTGTCTTTCTTTCCCTCTTTTTTAATAATCAACCACAGCTGAGTACGTAGTCTGAATCCTAAGCTGTGAAACAAAGTAGCTTCCTAAACTATAGTTTGAACCTGGCTTGCTTTAATTTAAGATTTTTTTTTTACTTAAAATTAAATAGACAACAGTCAGGGACTCTTGAACAAAGCAGATAAAGAAAAAACAACCACAGATTAAATCATGATTTGCTGGTATACACAGAAAAAAAATCAGTGTGATATTCTGAGAGGCTCTGAGATTTAGTAGTTTGCTTGGAAAACAGGGATCAAAGCCCCACTCAAGCTCACCAAGCTCTATAGAGAGTGGTTTTGAGATTAAAAGGAAGCTGAATAATGTATACTATCTTGAACTCCTTGGAAGAAGCCCAGGCTATAAAAGGAAGAAAAAAGTTTGTCTTCTGAACTACTTTTGGTACAAACCATGGCTGGTGATTTATCTAACTGAGCAAATGTCACCTATCTTTAATCATGATGATGGAAAATCACAGGGATATGCTCCCTCTCCACTGTCTTTAAGGCACAATTCTTTTACCCCTCCCTACGGTTAACCAATATGTCAGCAATGACTTTCAAAACAGGTAAGTTACCTCTTAACTAAGCTTTAAAACCAGATTGCAAAATCTGGATGGAAAATGGAACTCTGGTTCCAGGATGGACAGGTTAAATGTTAAATCTCACTACCCTGAGCAAACAGATTGTGTGGTACAGTACATAGTTACCTTTTAACATCCAGCACTGAAGATTGAAGCTGGTTCTTCACCCAGAATGCAGATTTCTGTAGGAAGGTACTCTCTTTATGCATATTACTAAGCTGATGCACAAGCGAGGCTAAGCCACATAACCAAGTATGCTTCAACTTATTTACAAGGAAATCTATATCAATGAAAAAACAGAGCATTGTTTCACCTACTGAACATATGACAAAGGCAAATCACATTGGCCAGTTCAAAACATGAAGAACAGAATCCTGTCCTTCAGGATTATTTATGCAAAAGGGTTTAGTTTGCTCTTAGTCCAGAATCGATTTTAGTATAAACAGCATGATTATTTTAATACTAAGTCAGAATAATTATTAGGAATTGAATTACACAAGACGTGAAATTCTTAACCTGGCAATTGTCCATTTTGCCATGACATAAGGCTTCAAAAGTTTTTGAAATGAATAACATGGATGAAATATGTATTTGTATTCTGCTTCAAAATGTAATTTTCTGCAGGGTTCGATTGTGTCGTTTTTGTGGTATTATTTATTGCCAAGACTGATTTCAGAAAAAAAAATACACCTGCTTATATATCAGCTTCCAGCTTATGTTTAAGAAATTTGCACACATATCTTCCACATAGAGAATGCAAATAAATGCAGCATTCCCTAGCTTCCCAATACCTTCACCTGCTGACATGGATTCTACTTGTAATGATTATTTATATTTATATTTAATTTTTATTTACATTATTGTGATTTATGTTGTTTTATGCACATGTTCCTGAGTGTTTAGTCTACAGAGAGTTTCATCAAATGAATAAATCAATTATTTATGCTGCCTTGAGAGACTGGGAAGGGCAGGATTAAAAAAAACCAACCAACCAACCAACAAATAAATAAAGTAAGTTAGGTTCACACAGTTATAGCAGCAAGGGAATACATTCTATTGAATAATCAACATGTGGTCTGGCCAAAATTAAACATGTGGTTGACCTGCTAATCTCACTGAGAGGGCACCCCAGTCTTTCCATGTTGGCTGTCAGAGTGAAGACTCTGGAGGAAGGGGTCTATGTACCCCTTCCCAGAGAAGCTTCTTTACATCACATCACCACTGGAGACTGGAAACAACAGTGGGGATTTCCTGGATGGTGTTCCAGCTCTGCAATCTCCAGTTATCTTGAGCTGGAGACAGCAACAAGGTTTCCTGGCAGCAGGATTTCAGACATAATTTCCTCCTTTCACCCTGTCGCTAACTCTGAACTTAGAGGTAGCAGTGAGGACAAGGGGCTGGGGAAGGCATGCTGCTCATCTCAATCCCCACTATCAACCAAGAAAAATGTCAGCTAGTATTCATTTTGGGAGGCAATCCCTTTATCCCAAAACAGTTCTGCTCCCTTGAGGTTAATTATATTCATTGCACAGTACCTGACAAATGTGTTATATGCTGACTCTGTGCACACAACTGGAAAATGGTGAACAACAAATCCTCTGATGATGGCATCAACAAGCATTCTTTAACTGAGCTGAAAAAATTAGAGGCTATGTCACAGATGAAAGACACCGATGGTTCTGTATTTCCAGCTTCTGAAAGATCTTTAGCTTTAGAGAGAGCTGTTTGAAGTTTATCAATAATCCTTTTAACATAAATTTCACCAATCAAGGACTCTGTTGATTAAAAAGAGAACAGTGTAAATTATTCGATGATCCGGGTCTCCATTCTGTCATCATTCTAAAACAACTGGTCCCTGAGCAATCAGGAATTCCTTCATTTTAGTGATCTATGGGAAGCTGTACTCCATACCTATAAAATCCTATTTATTGGCATATTATTACAGATAAATGCAAGATTGTTTTTATCAATTGATACTGCTGTCCCATACTTCCCACCCATAGCAGACCAGGTCTCTAGTTCTTTTGCAGAATTAGATTATTCCTCAGAAAAGCTCAAGTTACCTACCATTTTTAATCATCTGAGATAATACCAAACTTAGTAGAGTCCATCGTTCAGAATGAAAAGATTCTTCTGAAGCTACTGCAGTTTTCAAGCTTGTACTGCACAGATCATCAGCCAGAGTTACAAGCTTCTCACCTAACACATCTCCTTTCAGCCAAGTAGAACTCAAGGAATGTTTCTCAGAGCTTGAACATGCCTAAATCATAAAAACATACCAGCAGATTGGTTTGTTTAAAAAGGTTTTTTTAGAGTGGGAATTTTCTTTCTTATTTCTTTAAAACCAGAAATGTAGTCAGTTATTATAAACAGCTATAAGTGGGAATTGATCATAGCTAACACTATGAAATGGGTGAATTTTTACCAAGTCCCAAAGACTCCTAAGGAAACTTAGCTGTCATGGAATAAGGGGAGCAGGAGAAGGTTCCTCTTATGGATATGTAACTGGTTAAAGAACTGAAACCAGGGAATAGGAATAAAAGATTTTTTTTCTCAATGGAGGGATTTAAACAGCAGGATCCTGCAGGGTTCTGTACAATGGCCAATGCTTTTCAACCTATTCATAAATGATCTTGAGTAAGCAGTGAAGTGGCCAGGTTTGCTGATGACATCAAACTGATTAGGGTCAAAACCAAAGGGGATTGTGAGGAACTCCAAAGGGTTTTCTCTAAGTTAGGACAATGGGCATCAAACTGGTAAATGCAGTTCATTGTAAGCAAGCGTCTGACTCCTCTGACCAGTTCTTTTCCTCTTAATGTTGAATCAATGTTGTGCTTCTCTGGATCCAAAACTACTTTGTATAAAACTACACACAAAAATCTTGAATGTACCTTTTGAATGATTTGAAGAAGAATATTCCACTTCAGATCCATCTGGAGAAAGAACAAAAAAAGTTCTTCAATAATGTGACAAGGAAAACCATTTTTCCCAGAACAACTAATCTTGTATTTATTCTTGTTTGCATAGACACACATGTGCATGCACACACATCCTGTTGTTGTCCTCTCTTGTGTATGTACGTAAATGCAAACAAAATCTGCTGCAGAAGACCTTGTTCTCTTTGTTCAGTAAGGGACTGAACTATTTTCTCATGAAAACTAGTGAATAAATCAGTGTGGTTAGCACTAGCTACATTTATAAAAGTAGTTAAAATCTATTCATGCTATTACTTTTCCATTTTATTATTGTAAATATGCAACATGTTTCATCCTGATCTAGAAAAAATACCTAAAGGATATAATCCATAACCAACATTACAGAAATAAAACAATTGGCAATACAAATTATTAAACAATACAGTCCAGAAATTTAAAGCACATAAAATAGATTTAGGGTGAGATCCTATGGCCACTAGAGAGTCTAGACAGCAATAGGAGAAGCTGGAGTTTCCGCTCAAACTTCAGAAACAATGCCCGAGTTCAGAGCTGGGGCTCTGACCTTGGAATATCCTCCCTCCACCTTCACAGCTGCCATTGAAAAAACTGTGCCATCTGCAGCTCTGAGGTCGTAAGACCAACCTCACAGCCACTGGTTTGTGGGCATTCTGCAGAGCGAGGAATGGAGAAGAGACTCCATTCTGCTCAGTCTGCTCACTCCTTGCACTCTAGGACAAAAGACATTAATTAGCAAAACTGGCAATTTCAATAGGATGCTTATTACCCTTGGAACACACAATGGATCATGTTGCCTAATCTTATAAGAAAACTGTACCTTTGTTAAGTCATTGAGAATATTCTCTCTCTCTGTAGCACTGCTGCAGCAATGGAGAATGCTATACAAAATATCAACCAAAAAGTCCGTCTCTTTTCTCCAGTCCTCTTTCAGCCATTCCATTAGGCTTCCATATAGAAACTGGATAGCTGGATTCTCACACTGAAGTTTCACAGTTTCCTGAGTACTGCTCTTATCTTCCAGCAACACCTGGAAGATTCTACTAGAAGCAAAACTGCTGAGTAGAGCAGAGAGAAACTTTAAGTGCCGATCAGATCTTTGTTCACTGGTATATACAATACTCAGTTCTGCAAGTTTACATACTAAATCTTCTAAAGGCTCATTCTGTGAAGATGAATGATGTTGCTCATGAATCCCACAAATAAGAGTGTCAGTTTCATTGCTATTTCTCATATCAACACAATTCTCATCTACATTATTGCTTTCAGTTTCACTGTTTTCTACAAATCTGATTTTTACAGCTTTTCTTTTCTTTTGCTTCATCTTGATTTCTGGGTTTTGAAGGACTTGTAGCAAAGAGGACAGAGCAGCCAAGGATTTCTCATCTGCATCTATTACATCAACATGTCCCACACATATATTTGAAAGGCCTTCCCAAAAGTTCAACAACATTCTCTCAAAAGTAGGAGCTGTTCCACCAGTGCTTGACATTTCTGCTCTTGTTTTCCAAAAAATTAAAATGTCTGCTATCTCATAAAAAAAAGGACCATTTTGTAACCTGGGTTCTTTAAGCACCATGTCGATGAATGGAATTAACTAAAAAAGAAGAAAAACATAATCGTTTTAGTGCTGAACAGAAAAACTGAGATACCTTTTGTAAATTATTTTTGTCCCTAGAAACAGTATCTACCTTTTTGTTATGTTTACTTATTTACTTATTTATTTGCAGGAGCATGACAAAAGTGTCGATCCACTGTGCAGGGGAATGTCATTTTCCTGAAGAAACCAGGCCAAAGCTCTTTGACTTATTATGTATTTAATTTTTCTAGCACTCAATTTATTTAATTTCTATAGTCGATGCTCCCCGGGCATTGATGTATTGCAGCAGCAGGCAATGAAATGGTCACAGCAAAACAAGACAGGAAATAGTGGTCTTAGCATACATATCCAAACATCTACAGATACCCATGTGGCTACATTTAACTCAATCTGCTATTGATACATAGCCAAATCTAATTGGCTATGTAGCAGTAGGACATCAAAAGTGTAAACCCAACAATTACATGGTAAATGAAGAAAATGCCTCAGGAACCTCAAAAGAAAGACGTATCACCGAAGCAGCAGTGTCCTGGGGCTTTAAAAAGACACAAAATATAGCACTTCTGCGATAAGTAGCACTAGGTAGCACTTCTGCTTCAAAAATCGAGTATTTTCTCCAGAAATAGTCAAATAATAAAAATCTAATGCAGAACTAATTTGTATACTTAACATGTTAATATGATTAATCCTATTAAGTTATTCAACCACTTTTGTAAATGTACTGCTGAAAGTAGCCATTTTGGCTCTGGTTTCTTCCCTTTAAAAATCTCTGCATAAATAATTCTTTTCAGCCTGTTTCAACTATTAGTAAAAATGATCAAACATCAATGATATTTTATGATCTCCCCATGATAAAATACCTGGTCATTTATAAGCATTTCCTGTATCTTTATTTGTTCTTCTTCTTCACCTGTATAATGTAGTACTGTAAACTGAAAGCATTCTACAAATGCTGTTATGATTGCTGAACATTCTGAACGGCAAACTATTGTTCTTTCAGTCAACAACCTAAGCAAATGCAAAATTAAGAAACAGAACAAGGACATTATTGATTGCATGTCCAAATATAATAGGCAGAACGTGCTACCAAGTAGGAAGTCAGTATCAGAAAGAGTGTAGTAAAAAATGAATTCTGAAATTTACAATATAGAAATAGAATAAAACAAACAACATAGTTAAAAGCCAAAATTTAACATTCATCATAAAAGTATTAATACGTATATACACAACAGTATCCAGAACACATGTTTGGCATGTGCAGCTTTCAAATTTGTTTAAATATTGTTATGTTCTCCCTTTCCAATCTATTGCTCTCTCAGACAAGCAAGCAAGCAGGCAGGCACACACAGAGGGAGGGAGGGAGGGAGGGAGGGAGGGAGAAAGAGAAGGAGGGAGGGAGGTGTCAATTCTTGAATTGAACAATAAAAGCTAGAGATGCATACCCTTGAATTATGGAAGTGAAAAACACTGTTAAAAACTCCAGCTTTGGTTCTGTCATACTATGTGGTATCTTGCTTATAAATGGCAGGAGATTAGGATATATAATAGTAGCAAGACCTCGTCCTCCTTCTCGAAGCAGTGCCCATAACTTCGGCAGGACCCCCTTTTCTACATTCACATGACTCCAACAATCCTAGAGAACAATAAAAGGTATACAGAAGGAAACCAAAGAAAGTTAGCTGGCTTGAAAACAGCTCTCTGATACATCATATAGATTTCAAGGGGTATCCACCTTGGCCATTATAAAAGAAGACTGCCACCTAGCTACCTCAATCAGGAAAATACATACCACAAGTTCAAAATTAGTGATAAAGGAAATCTCTTAAGACTGTTTTAACAGGTACCATAGCAATTACATGTAAAGATGTCTGAGGAAAAACCTGAATTTGATTTTCTTCAAGAAAGGATTAATAAAGTATATGCTTCCTCTTGGGAGGTGTATTCCAATGCTGGAAAACTTGCTTTGCATGCAAGAGGCCTCAGCTTCAATCCTCAGTATCTCCAGGTAGGGCTGGAAAAACTCTTGTATGCAACCCCAGAGAGCTGTTGCCAGTGAGTGTTAACAAAACTGGGCTTGAAGGACTAACTCAGTATAAGGTAGCTTACTTAATAAACTGAATTTACTCTGTTTCAAAAATTCATTTGTAGCCATTTAATCAAGTTAACACTGCAGTACAGTAATTAATCACTTCCCCCTACTCTCATTCTGTAGCATGAATATGGCTGCACTTACTTAAAGCACTGGTCTCCAGCAGCAGGTTGTGCCTAACATTTAAAATAAGTAAATTTCCTGCATTACCTCAATGGTAGTAAGGACATGAAGTACAGCTTCCCAAAGTGCAGGGCATACAATGGCATCACTCTCATCAATGCTAAGAAGAACTGCTGGGCAAACCCTTGATGCTTCAGCATTCATGGTCTCTGGTATGTGCTGACAAAAAGCAGAAATCAGCTCAAAGTAGGCTGAACGAACCTGCAGTAGAGGAAAAGGAGGAAAGTTAAATCTTCTCAAGCAGTAACAATGGGCTATAATAGTTCATCTCTTTCAAAATGGGCAACCACTTGAAAAGTTAATGACAAAGCCTGAGAGTCCAAGAGTCTTTTTAGGAAGGTGCATTAGAATGAGTGACAACATCTTCAAGTTTTGTTTCTTCTCCAACCTGCAGGTTAGGGGCTTTGAAAATTTATTTTAAGTTCTAAAAATGTCTTGTCAGGCAGGAGGGGAAGGTTAGTTCAGAGCTAAAACTCATCTTAAAAAGAATAGGAAAACAGTAGCAAAATTTGAAACCAGAATGATATTGCCAAGTGATGCTATTATTTTTATTCTATATTGAGCAATAAGATTTATTAAAATTCATGATTCAAGAGCACTAAGAAAACTCCTTACATTCTACTGTTTTCTGTGCATAACTCAATATTCTTAGGAAAACTACAATCCAGAATTTGAAGCTATCCCTTTGATTTTACTACAAGTATTCTGGAGTAAGTGCTTTGAAGACTGCAAATTCAAGGACAGTATACTGAAGAAAATAGACAACAGAATAGTCAGCATTGCTCTGATAATTCAAACTTTATTCATGTTTATAGATCTCAAGATGAATGCTTTGAGAACTGGGGCATGAAGATATGACTAGTCTTGTACATGACTAAAACAAAAGCAAATTGGAATGCAATATTTTACCAAATGACTTTGATAAAATGTTTAGATATTTCAGCAGTCTGAAAAGCACGGAGCAATTAAGTAGCTGTTCAATGCTTTTATTAAAAGTTCTCAAGAGCTGCTTCTATCCAAATTATACAGACTGTCAGAGACCACTCTCTAAGAAACAGAATATGAAAAGGCTAAAATTGTTTTGTGATTACTGGCAGTGGGGGGGGGGTGATTTTAAGAGTCATGGTCCAAATACCCACAGTTGATGCAATTTTGTTTTCAAGACCTACTCTGGAATAATTTCTACTGAGTCTAAAAAGGTAAATTACCTGTGGCGTATTATGTTTTCCATATTTCCAGAATTTGTTTGGAGATAGTAGAGGCTTCAGCTTCTCCACCAATAAGCTGTTCTCATTGCTGGGCAACATACAAAGCAATTTCTTTAAAGCTAGCAAAGAACAGGTCAGAATTCGAACATATTTGGCTTCCCTTTCTTCCTCTGGCACAGTTCTGGAAAAGAAAAAGTAAATGCATAAACTGCATAGATGCGCAGTTAAAACAAGACCGTATAACCTTACTCTGAAGAGTAGATCTTTCTGAATATTCCACATTGTACTTCTACATCAAGAAATTAGTCAGTCACAAAGGTCTGTAAGCATAAAGACAAAGAAACACTGGACATTACCATCCAGATTCCATTCAATTTGTTTTCTAATGTACTCCAGACATAATGGTTTCTTGTCTTAAAAATAATTATAAAAGGATTCTCCAAGCACATATTTTAACACGAGCAACTTAAACTACTAAATCAGACTGTACCAATTGAAAAAAACAGCAGACAGAAGACACTCTAATAAATTGTAAAGATTTTTAAATGTATAAACATATTACTAATTTGAACAGGGAATTCTCTGTGGGAAACATAGACATAAATTGCTGCATATTAACAGGATTATAGTGCAACAGCAGAATGATTGGGAAGCTGAGCATACAACAGAAGGATGCGGGAGCTGAATTGTAAGTGAGGAAGTCTGTTCACAAACAAGCCAGCATATACACACAAAGGATATACGTACAAAGAATGCATCCTATCATTTGGTATGACTAAACATGAAAATGCTTTACTTTTTAAGTTCAATAAGTTTTTAATTTTCCATACTTCTTATGAATTGATATAAAATACAGTACCTTAGCTCACAAACTTAATCCATTCCAAATTGGTGACCCAAATTGGTCATGAGCGAAGTTACATTTCCCCATAAGGTTCAATGTAAATAAGGTTAATCCGTTCTGTAACTATTTTTTGGTCAGAAAAATGTGAAGCAAAGTGACAAAGGAACAACAAAGATCGCGGCCATCTCCCCCGCACTCCAAGCATGAGCACAGCTATCTCCCCCCTGCCCCAGCACGACCACGATTGCACCCATCATCCCTGCATGCGCCTGTCATCCCGGCACACTGGTGTGTGGGGGAGAGTTGGGTGCGATCGCAGGCGTGCTCAGCAAGGGGACAGACGGGTGCGAACGCGGACGCGCTGGGGGGAGAGATGGGCACAAACTCGGGCGCACTCGGTGGGGGGAGATGGGTGCAAACGTGCTGGGGAGGGGAGATGGCCGAGATCGCAGTTGCGCTCCTGCAGGAAAGGCGAGCGCGAACTCAGCCATCTCCTCCCCCCCCCCCCCACAGTGCCCAGCACAATCCCGGCCATCTCCCCACCTGGGGTGGAGAGATGTCTGTGATCACGGTCGCCATCCAATGTGGAGCTCGCAACCTTAGTCAAAATTTTTATGAAATTTGTGTTTGCGAACAGATTTGGTCGTGAAGTGAGGCGTTCGTGAGCCAAGGTACCAGCTTAAATGCATTTTTCCAAAGACCAACTGTATAGATTTATAATGAACTACATACTGTGGGTCACTTAGTGTATCAGGAGTTTCCTTCAAAAGATTGTCTTGTAGCACCTGAATAAAAATAACAACATAATTAATAGAAAGAAAATTTATTTAGTTCCTTAAAAAACACCTGCTTTAACATAGTCCATGAAACAGGAAAACTCACACTCAAAATTTCATCTTTACAAAACACTAAGGCTTCAGGTTGTTTACTTGGTGGAAACGCTTTTTCAAATGCCACTTTTGCTGCTGAAGCCGCTGGAGAGTAAATGTCACACTGAGCAATCAGCCAGTGTCCCATAAGACTTCTTAAATGAGGAGCCAAATGTTTCTTAACTTTCAGAATAAGCTGCTCAAAAGCTTGCTGTGTTGCTTCTCGAACTCTGCGGTCATGATCCTGTAATAATTATTTTAAATATACCATAATTTAGCAATTTACACACATAATATTTATATTACCACAAAAAACAGTTACTGTCTCTTGAGAAGAAATAAAAGTGATTTGCATTCATCTCTCACATCTAAAAATTAAGGTACACAGATAACATTATGTTTTCCATACTGCTTTGTTAATATGACTAAGTCCTAAAGATTCATTCCAAGTTTTAAACACCCTTCAAAGTAAATCAAGTCCCCATCAAATTAAAATAAAATTATGCACTGAGTTCTATGACAGTTATTGTAACAAATTCTGAGACAATTTTCTCTTTTTTTTTGTCATAACGTAAGAACATCAATACTTACAATAGAAATTTTACAATAAATTCTAGGCCAATAAGGTAGAACTCCTTTAACAATATCTGTTTCTCTCTCTTTACACATTGTACCAAATTCCTGCATAGCCTGAAATTTAAAAGAGTAAAAATTAACAAGGCCTTTAAAAAACCACCATCAATAACTTCTCATCCTTTCCATGTACTTCCTCATATGGTTATTATTCTGACTTTAGTTCACATAAGGTAGCTGAATTTCTCTGGACTGTGTTCAAAGACTTTCAAGCCATCCTTTTGTGATCTCTGTTTATCGCAACATGATCTGCAAACTTTGTGTTCTATTCACATGATTAGGCTGAAATTTGGAGAGAGGCCATCTGCTTTTATGAATTTCTGACACAGTTCCGAGTCTGTGGCTAACCATATCCTATAACCCAGCACACATTTCAGATTTATTTTCAGAACATAGTATTTGCAAGAGTTGCTACCATACAAAATGAAAGCTCAGGAAGGTGTCAAAATATTCACCATTCCTACCCCATGTGGTTTATTATATACCACATACATAATCATTCCAATGATAAAAATGCAATTAAAAAACAAAATATATTTTCTCTTTCCTTAAAATCCAAGGTGGTTAACACATTCTGCACAGAAATAGATATAAACAAAAGAATCAAGTTCAGCAATTGTGACACAATGTTATTCAACCAAATTTAACAAAGTGCACAATAGCCTATAATGGAGTATTATTGGTCTAAAAACCTGATCGTAACTAGTTCTTTCTCAAGTTAATTTTCTTTTCATATAGTCTTTGAAAGAAGCTTTAAGTACCCTTTCGGAACAGAAAAATGGCTTTTGAACATTAGTACAAATAAATGCTGAACCTTTCGGATCAATATAAAAGCCTTACCTTTAATTTGGTTATTACATCTTTTTTGGAGAGTTTTCTCAGCACCATTCGAAAGTCAGCATCTACAAGGCTATCTATTTCTTCAGCTCCCTGAACTGCAGGAACATATCCTAGGTCACTTGAAGATGTGCCAAAGCCAATGAACCCAGGAACAGTTCCTCGCTCTTTTGCAAGTAGTTCTGCTGCTCTACCACTGCTAGAAGGCTATTTTGAGAGAGGGAGGGAGGGAGGGAGAGGGAGGAACTAGGATTATTTTTAAAGATTTAATATTTATTTATACTCACAACGCGGCTTGGGTCCATTTTATGCCCAGCAACTACAAGTCTACTTCTTAAGAATTAGTTACTAACCAAAGTAGACATTTACATCCAGTGTTCCAGGAATGAACTACCATATTTTTTGCTCTGTAAGACGCACTTTCCCCCCTCAAAAGTAAGGGGAAATGTGTGTGCAGTAAGTCTGTCAGATGTGCAGCCCATGGGGAAGTGATGGGGAATGTGCCTGTGATTATGTGCCCATTTGATTCAGAATATTTTTTTTCTTGTTTTCCTCCTCTAAAAACTAGGTGCATCTTATGGTCAGGCACGTCTTATCGAGCGAAAATTACGGTAATCTTACTGACCATCTGGTATAACAAAATTCTCATCATTAACCACACTCTGGCTTCATCATGTTTTTACCATCCACTTTTTTCTGTTTTCACAATCCTTATTTCCTCTTACCCAAGTGCTACATTTAAGATAAATCCCCAAAGACACATGCACACCTATGCAGCAAATCAAAGAGTCTTGTGATACCATAAATTACCTCAAGACATTTGACATCTATCAGTTTTCACTAACACTTATATTGTTAGTGAGCTCTTATATGCAATCCCCTCCTGCAGTATGGGATTACAAGATCATTGTAAATTATTACTTGGAGTTTGACCAGTTGTGAAAGAGATGAAAGCTTCATGGCTACACACAGAAGCAAATAGATCATGTTCAAAACTCTGATCTACTATGCTATCCAGGGCATATACACAGAGACACTTAATACAGATAAGCTGTACACACTGCGGGCATCTTGAAAGAAGTGTGTGGTAAAAGCACAGATCCTTTCTTTCCATTATATGTTTACAACAATGTGAGAACTCAAATTCTTTTTAGTGCAAGAATGGTGCCAAGAACTGCAAATTATTCTGCACTGGTTGGTAATCTCTGCAGATTCCATGTGGATGCCACAGCACCATGGCCAAAGAAAATCAGCACAGCATAGCAAAAACTCAGTCATGATTCTTGAACTCAGTCATGATTCTATAGATGATTAGGCTCGTATTAAGCCAAAATATTCCAGAGGCCCAAAACACTTCTAGCATTTTTTTTTCACTTTTGAGCACTGGGAATCGCAAGCTTATCTACGTGCAGAGGGAGGAAAAAGGTCCTACAACTCCCAGAATTCTCTAGCAAGCATGCCTGACTAGAGAACGCTGGGAATTGTAGGATTTGTTTATTTATTTATTTAGTCCAAACCGGCATAGGATTACGCCTTTGGGGAATTTGTGTTCACAAAGATCTGGTTCCCACCACCACTTCAAAAAAAGGGTAGGCGAGAAGAGTCAAGGACCCCGTCCGTAAGTTTTAATGAAACTTGACGGCCGGCTGTGGGAACAGGTTCCGACACGTGTCAGCCCAGAAAGATCTACGCACACAGCAGCTAGCAGCCGCCGAGAACGAACCCAGCTCGCTTGAACGTGCTCCAGCTTCCCCTGTTGTAAAGGCAAGAAGGTCTGCTTCTCCCGGTGCGGCAAAGGGCCCTCCACTCCTGCCCAAAAGCTTGTCAGAGAAGGGAAGGAGACCTCCGAGGAGCATTTTCCGGGCCGCCCGACGCTATTTTAAAGAAACCCCGCAAGGGCGCTGGCTCGCTCACCCGCAAGTTGCCCTTCGTTCGCTGTTTGTTCTTGCCTCCCATGGCAGCGCCGCGACGACGTCGGAAGCGAGAAGAGTGCCCGGCCAAAGACGGCTGGTCCAGGGCAGGAAGCGAGGGGGCGCCCAGGCACTTCCTCCGGGTTGGAAAGCAGAAGTGGCGGCGTCGGCGGAGGCCGGGAAAAGGAGGCGGGCTCCACCGTCCGGTCGTCCCTCCGCGGCGCACGGAAAGGACTCGCTCAAGTCGGAGGGAGGGGAGCTGCGTTCCGTTCACGCCACGCCGCCCTCGGAAGCATCGCCGTGATTCATTTTGTTCGGGGGCAAAACTGTGGCTCTGTTTGGGGTCTCGTGGCGAGGAACAATGTTTTCCGACACGGAAAAGTTTCTTGTTACAGCTGTGCCTCTTGCCTTCCTCCACATCTGGGGGGGGGGGGGGTTGGTTGTACAACAGCATCGAGAATCTGCGTTTTTTGAAGTGGCATCCTTTAAGTGTTAGCCATTTGGGTCTACAATACAGTAATCAAGTTTCACTAAATATTAAGAGCAGCTCTTCCGGATGAAGATGTACCAGGCCCATGAAACTCCTACCTCAAACTGGGGCTTGAGGATGCCCTTATAAATTGGGATTTCTTAAAATAATCATATATTGGCATACTCTTCTTGGATTTTTTTAGGTTATTTTTTTTCATACATAACAAAAGGGCCCAATAGCCCTGGCCAGTACTCCGTACACAAGAAAGATTATGAACCTCACTCTTTTGCAATGCACAGTGATTTCTCTGAGGGCAAACCAATGTGGGCACTTTATCCAACTGGGCAGGAAGACTGAAAAAGGTTCAATTAGAAGGGTTTTTCAACCTGGAAACCTTTCAGTAGGACTAGGATTCATCATATATTTGACTTATTTGGGAATCCATACATTCAGATCGAAATTGTTTGAGCACTGCTCCATAGGATTTTCTTGGCAAGTTTTTCAGAGGTAGTTTGCCAGGTCTTTCCTCAACCCTTCCCATTTCTCTGGGTTTGGGACTAGCTGGGTGTGCATGACTGGGTTGGCGGAGGCTCCTGCACATTCCATGGACAGCAGGAGTCATGAAGAAGCAGGTGCATGAGCATATTAAACCAGATGAATCCCAGGATGGCAAGGTAACAAAACTGAGAGTCACATATTTTGGTCACATTACGTGATCGAGCTCATTAGAAAAAAGATATGCTTGGAATGCTTAGCAACAAGAGAAAAGCAGTTTGCCAAAGAGCAAGGTGGTTAGACTCTATCAAAGAGGATGCAGGCCAGAACATAGTTCAGCTGAAAGAGGGGGCATGGGATCAGAAGGCATGGCGAGATTTGGCCCATAGGATCGCTTAGTCAGACACAACTGAACAGCAACAGCAACACTGGGATCAAAGAAGCAGCTTTCTAAGTTGATTTCTGCTAACCACAGATGCTTTCACGTGAAGCTTTTATTGTGCGATTGTCTTACATTGCTCATGGAATTTTTCAGGATATCCAGATGCTGGCTTCAATTCACAATCCACTGTATTTTACTGCAATTTCCATCATTTTTCTTACTACAAAAAGATCTGTTAAGGAGAAAATGATAAATGCCTGCATTGTGCCTTTTGATGCATAGTATATTGAGCAGATCCACTGATTGGCATGAGTGAGTGACTTGTATAATCTTGCTACCCTTGAAGTGAAAAAAATATATGGGTATGAAATGGGAGGAGATCCTAAGAGTGGGTTATTTTGAAAGTCAGATATAATATTTTCCTATGCAAGGGCTAAAAGAACAGACATTTCAGGTATGAGCTTTGTTAACAATATAACCTGATGCAGATTGTAATTCTGCAATGGATAAAAGGATACAAGCGCTTCAGATCAGAGTTAGTCCATGAAAATGCATGAGCTCAAGTGATTAATTTGATTAGTTTTAAACATTGTCATTAATGCTATTGTCACTGTCAAATATCCTTTTAAAACCAAGGCTATCTGGGCATCCAAGATAAATCTGGTATATTCTGATATTAACAATTTTTCATTATAAAACAATCCCATACTAGTACAATATAATCATACAACAAACTAAAAACAACAAACACATAGACGGGAACATTAATATAGATAACATATTAAAATCTAATGATCATTTTTTTTTAAGGAAAGCACCAAAGTTTAACAGAGCTTCATTTAATTTTTCCATGTGTTTCTATCCCTTCCACACCTGCTTTATTGTCTACTGTCCTTCTACTCCAAAGTAGAGTTGAAACATATCTGCACATCCACTGTCAAGTAAAAAACGATAGAATTGGCCCAAATCCATATGATTTCCTCTGGCACCGTGGGCATCAAATATTTTTTCTTCAAAAGCCAAAAACTTCTTTTGTTTCTCCATTTCAGCTACAGACCCTTCTGTGGAAATGTCTTCTCTGTGACGAATTAAAATTCGCTTCCATGATAACCTTCTGAGTCTAAATGCAAGAAGAATATTGCAAATTCAGAAAACACAGTACCCTAATCCAGATAGTTACTCTTAACTATGCCCCACTAAAACTAATGGGACACATTAATTATGAGTAATTTAAGTTCCACTGAAGGTCAGTTGTGACTTCATAGGTGGGAACTAATAGGTGAGAACTACAATCTCTATTCTGAGATTAACTACTGTAAGTTATCAGCCTTGTCAGAAATTCTTAAAATGGTTAAAGTAAATGTGTGAGACAGCACACTACCCTGTGTGTTTTGGCAAACCGTATGCGTGGGGAAGGGATGGATTTGTAGATAGTCTTCTGTTCCGTGGAGGCTCATTAGAAGAATGATAACCCTGAGTTTCCATATTTTCATTTGTTAAAATCCTGGATTATACTCAGATAGAATTTGTTATGCTTTGATTGGTTTTTATGTGTTTTATTTTGTTAACGTTTCATGTATTGTAAGCCACCTAGGAAGGCCTCAGCAGTTATAGGTGGCCTATAAATACATGTACAGTGTTTCCCCCAAAATAAGACCGGGTCTTATATTAATTTTTGCTCCAAAAGACACACTAGGGCTTATTTTCAGGTGATGTCATATTTTTTCATTACAACAATCTACATTTATTCATGTACAAAAATTTACATTTATTAAAATAATGTCATCTTTTGAAACATTGTCATAACTCTCCAAACCCCAAACTGTATTGCAACGGACATACTAAATGCGTCCGTCTGGCTGATGATCTTAACTGGGGCTTATTTTTGGGGTCGGACTTATATTACGAGCATCCTGAAAAATCATGCTACAGCTTATTTTCCGGTTAGGTTTTATTTTTGGGAAACAGAGTATAAATAGATAAATAAATATAAAAGATTGTCTGAGCATCTACTTATGTGTGGTAGTCGATTTAAGTAAATCACCCTCCTACTCCTTTGTATGAGGCTCTGCAAAGCCATACGTTATGCTTTACAGTTATTGGTTGTATAATAAAACTGATATTGTAGGGAAAGGGAGAATCCCAGCATATCAGAAGGGAGTATGAGGGTGAAACTACCTGGATACCAAGGTGGCCAAGTCCATAATTTGTTTAGAGGGAAAGGAAGTAAGAGGTCCTGTAAATATTATGTCCAGATATATCTTAGGCTTTATCTATTAATGATAAAGTTAGTTTGTCCAGTAGTAATGGTGGATTTGGAGCAAAATTTTGAAATTGAACTCTTTGGATGCAAATCTACCATCAGTACTGGACAAACTAACTATTATTAGCTGATCTGCTGTAATCATATAAATATTTCAGGAATTTATCAACATTGAAATTAGGCAACTAAAAGCCAAAACCCCAAGAGCCTTAAATACAAGAAATAACATGAAAAACAAACCTTGACCAAAACTCCTCACACATGCTCTGTGGGCCTTCTACACAAATGATCCCTGGTTTTCCAGGCATGCTGAATCCAGACAGAGAAAGTTCCTTAGACCAGTCAACTATATTCTTTCTTTTTTGCTTATTATAAATGTGATGACTGTAAATCCAGAGCCTAGTGAAAATGTTTTCTAAATTCTCAGTGTTTGATTTCTGAACAGTGGAAGATGGGAGATCCTTGGTCACATAATCAGCAGCATGATCTTTAATCCATTCTCTTGCACTTAATATGCAAACCTCACCAGCACAATGTTTCTTCAAGTAGGATATGAGATCTGTGTTCAGCTGACCCTGCTGCAATCGATTTATCGATGGAGATCTAAAGAAAAAAACAGTATTGTTTGGAGCACAGAGTAGAAATCAAAATTCTTTTGTGGGAAAAGGAAACTATTGTTCCAAGTTATATTTTACTCTTTTATGAAAACAATAGGTTGGGAGTAGACCTATGGGACCAGACCCATTGATTTCTTTCTATTCAGCAAGGTCATCTCCTTCCCTGTGTAGCATTTTAAAGGGAATGGGAGGGCTCTCATGGGAAGAAAGCGGAGAACTCCAACTGATCCAGCCTAAATCTGGATCCAATCCATGATGTGCTAAAGAAACAATGTATTTAAAAGAGCCCCAACTGAATGGCTTCAGATAGTAAAGAGTGCTTGGAGATGCCTGGCCACCACCCACTCAAACTCCTTGCCCAGGAAGGGAATGTTGGCAACATGAGAATCACTATACTAGATAGGAACATTAGATGTGGACTTTTATGCTATTGTATAACAAACTCAGAACATTTCAGCTTTTAAGGCATCTCTTTCCATATTGAAATGTGTAGTACCTGATAGTGATTTCTGGGAGAACAGCTGGGTATTTTAATGGGTAAGCACAAGACAAAGTAAGTGGAACCTAGAAAAAGATTATTAAAAATTAAAATAGAAATTACTAAAATAAACTTAGTCATCAATATCGAACATAATGCTTTCAGGACAACAGTACATTACCTTTTTTCCACTAGATGTTTCTAATTCTAAATTCAAAATAAACTGTATTTTTGAAGATGGCACTTCCGAAGTAGATCTTTCTACGTGTTCTCTCAGTTCTGCCAAAGCCAACTGGTCAATCACCTTAAATTCATCTTCATGGGGAAACATACTAGAAAGCAAATCTAATTCAGAAAGTTGTAGCTCAGCTTCTTCCAAACTGCTCATTTTGAATATTTCTGTGATTCCTTAACAAGTTGGAGGAAACTAATGTTAGTACTTATAACGTCTCAAGCTTCTGGTTAGCCAATCCCTACATTTAATGGTCCCACAATACTGGCATTAATTTCAGTGTCAATTACCATGTTCAAGGTTTGGAATCACAGATTTGTACCTCTATCTCGGTTGGCCAAACCAAGGCTGGGAAGAATCTTTGAGTTTATTTTGTGGCTTGTGGCAGAGTGCCCACTTGCTGCCCATAGCCACCACCCATGGACACCCACTTGTGGCTCTCAAACATATGACCTTTATCATATGTGACACTTCCATTGAGCAAGTTGGTCTATTTGATTGGCAACTCAATGCTATGGATATTTATTTGAAAGTAAGGCCTGTTGGCTTAAATGAGACCTATTCCAAAGTAAGCTTATATAAGTATGTCCTATCAAGTTCAGGGGTTTTACTTCCAAGTTAGTGGGACTAAAATTGCAGCCATAAACAGTCTAGCTTATTCAGTACAAAACTTTGCAAACAAATCAGGAAAAAACGTGTTTAGGAATGCACTTAAGCTAGATGTTCATCTGAAAAAGACTGGGCTGCACAATTTGTGCAGTGTAAATCAGATGTAACTGCAACCAACTGTGCCTAGAATGGGAACACTCTTCTATCCCAAAAGTGAAGTTTGTGCGCTAAAATAAGTTTGGACAATTAATAATCTGGACAAATCCGAAATTGCACATGCATGTTCTTTTGGAATTTCAGGGCCATTCACAGACATAGTAAAAGTGTGGAGCCATAGTTTTTTAAAAAAAATATTGTTGTGCTCATTGGTGATACTGATCCCTGGCCCTGCTTTGGAGGCATTTCTATGAAAGCCATCTATAGAAAACAATGAAGAAATAATGTATTTTCATGAAGTATCTTCAGGAGTGGTTTACAATAGACTTACAGTGTAGTACAGTGTCTATTAATAGTCAAGAATGGGATGTCAGGCCAAATTCCACCATACAAAGCACCCTTTGAATTGCCTTCAGTGTCAATCTTAAATTCCACTTTTTAGCCCCTTCCAGCCCAACTACTGTGTTCCATTGCGTTGCATGAAGACATGCTGAAAATATTTAAAAACACTGTTTCAGTAGAATGCCATTTTGTTGCTTCTTTCTTACGTTTCCCTTTTTCATATTAAGAAAAGAAAAGAAAAAATATGTTAAGTCCCAGGTTTTGTTACTGTCATGGGGCTAGATGCAAGATGCTGCTACCCTATCACAGCCACACTAAAAGTTTAGATTTGTGTCGTTTTCTATGGGTAGCTCACTTCTGTCCCAAGAAGAGAAGGAAGAAAAATAACTCACATGAAAGTTGAACCCGGATATACACGCATGCCGAAAGAAGGGTAAGTTTACAGGATGCGTTGGCACTACGCGCCTCCTCAAACGCCTTCCCCTCACGTGAGTTGTTTGAAGAGTTCCGGCATTCCACGTACCGGAAGTTCCTGATGGGCCAAGTGGCCCCTCTAGTATGAGGTGTCTATGCTCGCGCGTTGCCCCCGCTTTTCGGTGCACCACGGGGCCGTCGTCAGGTGACCGTAAATCTCCACTTCAGACGTGGAGATGTGTCGTAAAATATTTAAATTCAGGATGTCGTCCCCAGGTAAGGAGCCGTACCGAGTGTTTCGGGAGTTTTCTGCCGAATGGGTCGTCATCCCTGAGCTGTTCCTTCTTCGTCGCTGGGACGGAGGGCAGGGGTACTTTCCCATTGGCCTCAGATGTTGTCAATTAGGACAGAATAGGCGGGCTGAGAAGGAAGTGAAGTGGCCAATCAAAGGAGGGCCGGTTCTGATGGACCCTGCAGGTGAGATGCGTTCTAGGAGGGATCGTCGCGGCCGCCCGTCGTCGTCGTCCAGAGGGAGGAAAGGGCAGAGGACAGTCTGAACTGTGCCAGTTCTGAACACCTGCGTTTCCTTTCTCCGTTCGGTTTTCCAGCGGCGGCTCTCGGCACAGGCTGCCATAGGAGTCCTTACTGTGGTGACTTATCCCAGCGCGTGCTGCCCTGCTGCTTTGCTAGCTTGCTTTCTCCCTCCACCCCCCCCCCACGGTTTTTGCAAATACCTTTGTTGCCACCTGGGGCATCGGAACTTTTGAACAGCAGTTTCCATAATTCTCTTACTATGAGCCACGTTGGCTCGGGGTTATGGGAGGTGTAGTTAAAAACATCTGCAGAGCTCTCGAGTGCCTAGTTTAAAGACGTGGAAGTTGGCAAAAAAGAATGAAAGACCCTTGTTGTTGTTAGTCGTGAAGTCATGTCCGACCCATTGCGACCCCATGGACAACATTCCTCCAGGCCTTCCTGTCCTCCACCATCCCCCAGAGTCCACTTATGCTCAGGCTGACTGCTTCAGTGACTCCATCTAGCCACCTCATCCTCTGCCGTCCCCTTCCTCTTTTGCCATCAATTGTTCCCAGCATTAGGCTCTTCTCCAGGGAGTCCTTCCTTCTCATTAGGTGGCCAAAGTATTTGAGTTTCATCTTCAGGATCTGGCCTTCTAAAGAGCAGTCAGGGTTGATCTCCTCTAGGACTGACCAGTTTGATCGCCTTGCAGTCCAAGAGATTCGCAGGAGTCTCCTTCAGCACTACAATTCAAAGGCCTCAATTCTTCGGCGCCCAGCCTTCCTTATGGTCCAACTTTCACAGCCATACTGTTGGCAGAGTGATGTCTCTGCTTTTTATTATGCTGTCTAGATTTGTCATAGCTTTCCTTCCCAGGAGCAAGCATCTTTTAATTTCTTGGCTGCAGTCCCCGTATGCAGTGATCTTGGAGCCCAGGAAAATAAAATCTGTCACTGCCTCCTTCTCTTCCCCATCTATTTGCCTGGAAGTGAGAAGACAGGATGCCATGATCTTAGACGCCTTAAAAATCTGGCACAGGTTTTAATGGACTGCAGTCCTCTTCATCAGATGCATCTGACCACAAACCTTATGCCAGAATAAATTGCTAGTCTTAAAGGTGCTACAAGGCTTTTGTTGTTTTGTAGTAAAGTAGTATGACTTCCCCTTCGGAAGCACATTTAGAAGGAGAAAAAGTGGCAGTACAGTACCAGCTTTGTGTTGAGTTGGCCTTCTTGGGGAAGCAAGATGCTATAGCAAAAACTGTCAACTTCTTAACAGCTTTGTCTGTGTGTAATAGAGGTACATAAATATTAGCTAGCACCTATCCTTCTCCAAGGGAGTAGTATCTCTCTAGGAGATACTGCTATTTAGACTATTCAGTGTAGCCAGCTTTCATCCTTGTCCTTATAACTATCACCTTACATGCAAAAATGGAGAACATTAATGTTTCCCTGGCATAAAGATAAAGTTAATGATTATTTTCACTTGCTTAATTTCTGTTAACTTTGTTAAAAATATAGGCAAATAGCTATTTAGGGTGTAATCTTGGGAAGTTCTGGGAGTTGTAAGACTTTTTTCTGTTTAAACATGTATATGATTCTGAGCTTAAAGAATTGGGTCTAAGAACAGAGGGTCTAAGATATACATAAGGGTATGCACAAAAACCAGAAAATAAAAAGCTACTGTAGACATACTCACTGAGTCTTTGTTAAACTTTTACAAACATTCTGAAATGGTTCGCCATACAGTTGGAAGCTTGCAGTTTGATAAATGAAAGTCAAGACTTTGAATGAGCAAATGGAACTAGTTGTGTGTTTCTTTGGAACCTGATCTGTCATTTAATTGGGAAAATAAAAGTACACACACACACACACACACACACACACAAACGAGTCAGTGTAGTGAAGTACTTAAATCATGGGGACTGGGCCCCAGGCTATCTGGGTTCTAGTCCCCACTCAACCATGGAGTTCACTATGTGACTTTGGACCAGTCAGACAGAACAACAGTGCAAGACCAGAAAGAATAAAAAGGAAAGCCATGCATAGTCTGAAGCACTAGTACATATTGCTGCACTAGCAAACAATCTTATTTCATAATCTCTTTTGTTGTAGCATATTGTGCTTCTCTCTGGTTAGTCGCAACACAAGGGGTAAATTTTAAAATGTTTAACCCCTCTTCCACCATAGCATGTTGCAACATAATTTAAAGGATCTTGTCCAGCTAGCTTAACCTGTTATACAAGAACCTAGCTTAAACTTTTGACATTACTATCAGATTACTATTATTTACCCTCTGGAAAAGTGACTTTGTCATCATCTTTTTGGCCAAGCAGAGATTTGAATTCAGATCTTTGTAGCTGAAGTTCAACACAGTCCCATGTATACCTCATGGGAGCTCCCAATGAGTTACGGCCTTCCTATACACAGTATACTGATAATGTGCACCCTGTTGCTAAAAACAAGGTACCAGGTAAGTTACTTTATATAAATAGGTGAAAACCTATTCTCCGGTGTTGGAGTGGTGGCTCATTTTGTCTTCCAGCTTATTCTCCTGAGCCAATACACATAAAAAGGAAAGAAGATACAAGTGGTAATGTGAATCCCATGTCCATGCTAATAACCTTTGTTTCATGGAGCATCATTATGTTCCAGATATCTGTTCACCTTAAATAATTGAATCTTCAATGTATAGTAATGCATCTGCTTCCTAAGTATTGAGGTGTCCTAAAAATAATGTTAATCTCTCCTTTTCTCCTAAGCCATAGTTGTTTGATATGAAGTAAAACCTGGGATTGCTAACATGGGAAAGAAGCGTACAAAGGGAAAAAACATACAGCCGGATGACTCACTGGATGCACTGGGTACCTTTTATTCATACAAGTAATATCAGACAGTTGTATATTTCTGAGGAGGCGAAGTTTATCATAGCTGCTTCTTTCCCTGGCAAAATATTTAATGTCATTATGAATGGAGTTGCCCTGTTTCAGGTCAACTGCTGTAAAGAGCAACTGTGCATTGATAAGCAAAATATCCCACACAGAGTAGCTTTCTAATTTTTAGCTGGCCAGTACCAAATTATATAGCAATGAATTTGCCAAAGCCAAGATTTGCCTCTTCTAATGGAAAACTTCTTGGCTTCTCCTAATGAAATGGATAGTAATTAAATGTAATTTCATATGTTTAATACTATTGATTATAATGCTTATTTTTTCTGAGTTGGGACAAAATATGAGTGCTGCCTTGGAGTCTTAATACACTCTGACTCCCAAGCCTGGCACCTTTCATATATTCTGGAGTTCAGCTCCAGCCAGTGTGGCTAATGGAGTATACTACACTGAGAAAGCATGCCTTATGAACCTAACAGGTGGTGAAAACAATGACAGTAGGGTGACGTTACCCACAGTATGAAGATCAATAGAATGACAAAGTTAATTCTCCACTCTTGTCTATCCCTTCCAATATGAAAATTCTCAGTCATGCTTGTAAACTCTTTATATCCAATTACTAAATGAAAAGTCCTTTTGTTTAATTATTAATACTCATATAATATTTTGGGGCATCCATGTCTGCACAGAGTGTCTAGATGGTACATATAGTGACAGTCTTTGGGGAGCAATCCTCATAACTGAAACCAATATATGTGGTGGGAAAAGGCAAAATGAGAATATGTAGAGCAGTTTCCAATGGTGTTCTAAACCTAAGTGGAATTTGCTAGCACCATGAGGAAAAGTGGCAGCTCGCTCCAAAATTTCCAGTGCTACGCCACATGGGTTCTAAGTAATGCCCCTTCACACACTCTAATTGTGGCTTTCACCTTCTTTAAACTTCTTGATAGGGCCTGTGTGCAAACACCTTCGCAAAGGACTGGATCAAGGTCATCTGAAAAAGGCATTGCAGAATGTGGACTGGAACTCTTGCCAGGATTGCCAGCCATTGAACAGTGGTACACGTGAGAAGTCTGAAGAAGAAGCTGAAGATAGACCAGTGATATGGTTATGTCTAAAGTGTGGCCACAGGGTAACTCTCTTTTTCTATAAAAGACATAACAAAGTTGGAAAATGTGGAGCTGATTTATTTAATCAGTTGTTAATGTCGTTAAGAAATGTAGTGATACAAACATTTTATTCTTGCTTTGATATCGCTTGCTGTTTTTCTTAAATGGCAAAAACTTGGTATGTAAATATTTAGGAACTGTCAGACTTGAGTACCGCCTTGAGAACATCTGCCCCGTGTAATATTAGCCCACTTTTTCTGTACTGTTAGTACTGTCTGTACTGAATAGTTATCATTCCTTTTGGGCTTTAGAAAATGCATTGGGTTGGATCCGGCTTTCCATGGGCAGATTTCTGATCATGGAACATCTGCTGAATCCCCTTGAATCCTCTGCACCCTTCAAAAATCTGTTCAGGAGATCTCTGGGGGGCTCTCCAAAACAGTGTTAAAGGCTGCAGATGGGAGGGGGAATTGGTGAAAATTATCTCCATCCTCATCCAGTGGGATGTTCTAGTAGATCTCAGATACACTGTGTGAATGGAGGAACGTACTGGCTTTGATCTAAATAAATTGTAAGCCGCCCCGAGGCTTCGGCGAATGGGGCGGCATAAAAATGTTTTAATAAATAAATAAATAAATAAATAAATAAATAAATAAATAAATAAAATACATAATTCTAATGAGATACGTTGCAGCTATTTGAGAGTCTTACACTACAGCTTACTGCAATAACTATGTTAAATTCTGTTTTAACTTAAACTTTTTGAACACACGCGGTTGTTGCTTGTATGTTTCATACTTGCGGTATTACAGGGCTGTGGCAGAAACTCTGAACAACAACATGCTTTAAAGCACTATGAAACATTAAGATCAGAGCCTCATCCTTTGGTTCTCAATTTGGACAGCTGGAGTGTGTGGTGAGTTTCTCAGTATCGGTTGGAAGGGCATGTCTTTTAATGCTAAGAGCTACTGGGATGATTACATAATCTTTCATGCAGTACGTTTGGTTTATATGTAGTTCACTTTCTTTCACAGCATCCTTTACCATCTGCCATAGAAGCCATTATAAGGGATATTATTTCACTGATACCTGAGCATACTTGGAGCACAATATGTTAGAAAAAGTTAGAAATGCTCAAATACAATTGTATAGAAAGGAAGCACTTTCCTGCATATTCTGGTCCAATTTATTGGTTTAGGACAGCCATCTCCACCCTAATGTTCTCCAGAGGTTTTGAACAACTCACAGAATTCCTGACCATTAGCCATGCTGGCTGATCTGATGGGGGTTGAAGTCCAAAATATCTAGAGTGTATTGGGTTGCAGGAGACTGGCCTAGGACTTGTAGCCATCTTGTTTCCTGTGAATTAGATATACAGCATTGTTGTGTGGATAGCTGTTGCTGCAGTCTTGAATCCTAGCAGCAGTGGGGCTGCCTGAAATGGAATGGCCTGCTATAACATAACAAAATTCGTATTAGTAATTGTAACCTACATGCCTGGGCTAAATATGAAAGCTTTTATTAGCATACTAGTCCAACAACAAAAACGTCCATTCAGATTTTTATTGGCAGTAATGCATTTCTTAAATACTTTCATATTACTAACAGACTTCACTGCTTTAATGATTCTTGCCCCCATTGTACCAAGGCTCTTGAAATACATGTTCATAAATGTTTCCCATGCATGGAACTGCCTCCCAAACCAAAAACATCAGAAATGGTGAATTGCAGAGATAAACGGAAATGCTATATTACTCTCAGATTGGTTTACTAGGTTAAGAGGAGCATCATTGAATTGGCTGCCAATATAGTTCTGGTTGCCAGACTTGAAAAATCAAATTTTACTTTCTCTTCACATGACATCCCCTAAAATTAGCTGGGATTCCGTTCTATGTACCATTGTTGCCACTACTGGAAAAGTGGATCATAGTTGACAAGTTTTGATAATATCTGACCATCAGATGCCCTGCTTTAAAGAAAAGCAAAAATAGCAACAGGGCTAGGCAGCCTTTTTTGACCATGAGCACTTTTAGGTCATTTGATAAACTGTTCTGGGGACCACCACAAAGGAGCTGCCATGGGAGGTGTGGCAAATTACAAGTAGCTGTCTAGAAGACTGCACAGAAGGCAGAGGTGGCGTCTGAACCCTACAATACCATACAGCGTCTCTGAATCCCTAGATGTTGGCAAGAACAGAAACCTGCATCAGGGCAATCCCTGCAGGCAGCTTGAAAAAAAATCATGCTGTGCTGCAGTCGTATGATACCGTGCTTTGATGTGACCTGCACTCTTCACCAAGAGCCTTTGGGTAGTAGTGTTTAATTGATTTGCTTTGTTCCCCTTTCTGGAAACAGGTGCTACTTGTGTGATAATGAGATCCCCTATAGCAGTTCCACTCAGTTAGGCCAACTTGTGGATTATGTTAGAAAGCAAGCCCGTGTCCACACCCAGAATGCAGGTAAGTTTCTAAACCGCTAGAATAAGCCTGCTTGCAATGTGTGCTGCTTGCCAGTAACTAACAGAAATTTAGAGCTCTTAGGTAACAGCATCCAGAAGATTTTAGAAATAGTTTTTTAAGTGTCGCCTTTCATATTAGAATAACGCCATCTTTCATTCATAGGTTAGTACAGTAGTCCTTTATGGCCCTCCAGACAGCATCCATGCACATGCACTCAGATTGGAAAGTACAAGAGCAAGTTCAAGAGCCGCCTGCAGTTTTGATGACAGTCATATATGCGGTTGCATAATGCTTGCTTTTTCCCTAAGTAGTGCATATAATTTTGTCATTCCAAGATTTGGCATCGTATCTTGATTTATAATATTTTAAAGTTTAAAACTAGCTTTTTTTGTTTCAGAATCTAAAGATGAAGAAAATAAGCCATTGGAAAACAAAAAAATAAAAGACCATATAAATGAGGAAGAGAGGGGGAAAAAGGAGAAATTGGACAAAGATGACAAATTTCATTTGAATGGCAATGCTGAAGTTACGGTGAAAGGTCTTAGTAACTTGGGCAACACATGTTTCTTTAATGCTGTTTTGCAGGTATGCCAGAAATTACAGAGATTGCCAGATCTGTACTTTTTCTGCCCTCCTGTGAATACAGAATGAGCATTTGGAGTGCAGCTACTTTTTAAAGTTTTGTTTCTGGGCTAATTTCAATGGTAGAAGTTCATTTAAAACTCTGGGTAGTCTGAGGCCAACCTACCTGATAAAAAACATGTTCCTGCATGTGCTTGCCTGATCTCTGGGTTCTATTGTGGATTGTGGTGTAGCTGTTGTCCCATTTGGAGGTTGATTGGCCTTTCATAGTTAACTAGATATTCCTCTGATAAAGCCTGTGTTCATAAAATTCACTATCATGTCCTGTTGCTTTATATAATTAACAAGAGCAGTTAAGAAAGTCCTTTTCAGGAAGCTGCCTAGCTTCAAAGTGTGATGAAGATGAATTGGACATGTATCATTTCTGTGGGATGGCTCCGCCGATAGATGAGTGGAACTTTGCTCACACATTGGGACTTTCTTCTTTTTCCTCACACTAGAAGCCCCCTTCCCAATTTGTCAGTGTTGAATAGTAGCCTACAAGCTTTAGTTACTAGAGAGAGTGAAGAAACATTTGAGAAGGTGTTTTAAGGGGCCTTTAACTTTTAGGGTGATGATATGAGGATTCCATTGTATTTATGTTATGTGCCATTAAGTTGTCTCGGATTTATGGCAACCATGTAAGTGCATGCTCTCCAAAATGTCCCATCCTTGACAGCCCCGGAATTGGAATTCAAAATTGGTCTTCTGCCTTTAGCTTTCTCTAGCGTTCTCTTCAGTGAGTTTCGCCTTCTTTGTGCCCAAATTATAACAGCTTCGGTTTTATTATTTTTGCTTCCAGGGAAAGTTCTGGCTTGGTTTGACCTAGGGCCCACTTCTTTGGCTTTCTGTCAGTGCAGCCTTTTTTCCCTCTTGACAGGAATCCAGGATGCTTTACAGGGTTCTCCTGATGATCCATTCCAGGAAATAACAAAATAGGTGTCTATATGGAGGAGAAACTTTGGTTATTTGTTATGTTTATTTGATGGCAGTGCCTGATGGAGTACAAAATGCTGTGTTAGTATAAGCCTGTAGAGTCGCTTCTATGTGAATGTATTTTATTAAGACTGTACACTTATTTATTATGGAATTTAGAATGTTAGGGCTTTCATTGCAACAACACGTGCATACATATACTTTAGTCACTGGATCTCTTGGCAGTGATTATTGTTCATTTGACTTCAGGCATTGTATAGTAGGTTCCTATTACATCTATACAGACTGCATAATAGAATGTATATAAGAATTCTGTGTGTGTAATAAGAGTTTCATTATTTAATTATACCAGTTGTGTACCTTCAGTGTGTGTTTTTATTTCAAGTTTTTTTCATTTTGTTTTGCTTTTCCATGCAGAATTTATCGCAGACACCAGTTCTGAGGGAATTGCTGAAGGAAGTTAAAATGCCTGACTCAACAATTACAATTGAACCACCGGAATTCTCAATTACGGTACATAGGCTGCTGTTTATGATACTATTGTTAATAAGTTCGAGCTTGGGGTACTCCTGGATCCAAAACTCTCACTTTGAGTTCCAAGAGGACTCCGTTGCCAGGAGCACCTTTCTTCACGTGTGCTTGATTTACCAACTGCAGCCATATCTTAACAGACAAAGCTTAGCCACAGTTACACACGCACTAGTTACATTCCAGTTGGACTATTGCAACACACTCTGTGAGGGGCTGCTTTTAAAGATGATCTGAACACTCCAACTGGTTCAACATAAGGCCATGTGTTTGCTGACAAGAACTAGTGCATATTCCTATATCAAACCAGTTCTATACCATCTACACTGGCTACCAGTGGAAGCCCAGACCCAATTCATAGTGCTTATACTTACATATAAAGCCCTAAACAACCTGTGTCCTGGGTACTGAAGGACTCCTTTCTCCTGTATGTATCTACCCATCCATTAAGACTGAGCGAGGAGGTCCTTCTCAAGGAGCCATCCCCTAGGGACATGAGGAGGATGTTCGTTAGAGGAAGGACCTTCTTGGTGGCTGTGTTCACCTTTGAAATTGTTGTTGTTAATCGCGAAGTCGTGTCCGACCCATCGCGACCCCATGGACAACATTCCTCCAGGCCTTCCTGTCCTCCACCATCCCCTGGAGTCCACAAGCTCACACCAACTGCTTCAGTGACTCCATCTAGCCACCTCATCCTCTGCCGTCCCCTTCTTCTTCTGCCATCTATTGTTCCCAGCATTAGGCTCTTCTCCAGGGAGTCCTTCCTTCTCATTAGGTGGCCAAAGTAGTTGAGTTTCATCTTCAGCATCTGGCCTTCTAAAAAGCAGTCAGGGTTGATCTCCTCTAGGACTGACCGGTTTGATGACCTTGCACCTGGCACAATCACCACTATCATTTCAGCACCAGGCAAAGGCATTCTTCTTTTCCAGCTATTTTAATAATTGATTTTAGGGGCCGATTTAAATCTAAATTTGTTTATTTTACTGTGTTTAGTTAGCATTTTAATTCTGTTATTACATTTTTATATTTTGATAATGTTGTTAATGTGTTTAAATATGTTAATTTCATGTCTGATTTTAGAATATTGTGTTGTTTTAATTGTTGGAAGCTACACAGAGAGCCCAGATAAGAGATTTTGTAGTAGCCTACAAATTGAAAAAATAAATAATAATAAATAGGTATACTTTAGTACTCTGAGCAAATTTTGACAACCAGTCAATATTGCAGTTGTATAGACTCTTAGGGCTCAATCCTATGCAAGTTTTTGCTGGCTTGGGTGTGCTGGCAGTTTTAGGCCATTTTTCTACCTGAGCATGCATAGGATTGTGCTTTTTCTGAAATGAAGAAAAGATCATAATGCTTTATGCAATGGCCTGGTTAATAATTATTGCTAAATTATGGTTTAATGTTAATGCATGATACTTGGGCACGTACACTTCTCGCTCCCTTCACTCTGGCATAGCAGGAACTTTTAAATTCATTTTTAACCAGTAAGTATTATGTCCAAACTCTGAACTGTGGCTCATCTTAACTATGGAGAGAAACAGTTTCATAAAACATGGCTGTAGTTTGTTTTTACCTTACATTGTAGTTAAGATTAACCACACTTGACCCCTGAACCACATTAGAACCTTTTTTAGGGAGGAAGATTGTATTGTAGGTTAAGGTCAGGATATCTCCCTTCCATGTGTCCTGTTCTTTCATTAGATACCATCACTTAGGTTTACAAAAAGTATTTTGCTGAAGACAGTAAAATCATTTGCATGTATTTCTTCAGAAGATCAAATTTCTGCATGTAACGCATGTGCATTCTTTATGTGGCATTTTAGGAGCCTCTAGCAGTTAAGCTTGATCAGCCGAGACCTCTTACATTAGCAATGTGCCAGTTTCTGACAGAAATGCAAGAGACAAAAAAAGGAACCGTGACCCCTAAAGATCTCTTCTCTCAGGTCTGTAAAAAGTAAGTATCTACCTATATTAGTGAAAGCTTACTTCATCTTGTACAGTTGGGTGCATAGTGAAATTGGATTACTGTTAAGATATCTTCCATCATCTACATCATCAGACGTTAACATTGTTTTATCAGTACTTGAAGCCGAAAACATCAGGACAGGTAACTGGAATATAGAGGGGCCATTCACACAGAGGTCTCTCTTAATAAACTATGCTTGTTTCTACTGATTTGACACTTCTGTCATAATTTATTTAACTGATTTAAATTATTATGTAGGTAATTTTGCATTACTTCTGAACAGGGAATCTGTGCTTTAATGTTGCTTAACTAAAACAGGATCTGGCATCAGGATATGATGATAAGTAGGGGTCATTACATCTAACCTTCCCACGGAGAAATATTTTTAATACAGATTAAAAAAACTTGCATACTATGCTATTGATGGTACTACTAACTGAAGAATTGGATAAAGCAAATATATTGCCCAATTTAACATGACTTCTTAAATGTCACCTCTTGCACTTATTGCATGAATCAGAGGCATCTGCTTATTGGAGAATATATTACATAGTGTTCACACTTGAAATCTGTTTAAACTGGACTGAAAGTTTTAGTTACTAAATTGATCAACTTCAAGTTCATTTTTATGGGTATCAGAGCAAATTGTAATTGGTGAGTTTGAATTAAGGGCACATCTATTTCTTTTTCAGGCTCTATTTAAGCTAGTATTGGTTGTAATAGAAACAGAAAAACAGAGTGTGGTAGATCTTGTTAACTATAAGTATCTTGCAATGTCATTAGTTCTTGGATTTATTAAAGTTTTGATACTTTGCAAATTTATTTAAATTTAATCATTTGCTCTGTAATTAATCAATTAAAAGTGTTACGAATTCCTCTATAAATTTTAGTGTTAAAACAACAGTTAGTTGTAAAATGCACCAGGGGTTTTTAAATAATTTTTTTATTGTTATATTGTTATTATTTATGTAGTTATGTATTTGTTTCTGTTGTGAGCCGCCCCGAGGCTTCGTTGCGATGGGGGCAGCATAAAAATGTTTTAAATAAATAAATAAATAAAATGTTCAACCTGCAATCCTATACACAACTTCCTGGGAAAAAGTGACTCATTTCTAGGAAGATATGCATAGGATTGCACTGTAACTCTCTTGGGAAGCCCTGTGTCTGATTTTCTGGACTCTGTTATATACAGAACTCCAACATGAAATATTTTTGAAATTTCAAGGGTGCTTGTTATAACTTCCTAGACATTATCAAAAAGAAAAAAAAATGGAAAACTGCTAAAGTGATTTGAGACTTCACCTTCCCCTACCTTTTCTTCCTTTTTTTTTTTTTTTTTTTTGAAGAAACATTGTATAAATGTTTCTACAAAAAAATGCTTCCTTGGAACGCAGGTTTGTATGTGCTCTAATTTGTACCCATGTTGCTTTGTTTTTTAAATAGAGCCATACGATTTAAAGGCTTTCAACAGCAGGACAGCCAGGAGCTGCTTCATTATTTACTGGATGGGATGCGAACCGAAGAAATCCAAGTAGGCCTTTAGTACAGAATGAATACTGTGGCTGCAGCCTAGAAGTCCATGTACTTTTTTCCCCCTGCATACACAGCACTGAAGAGAGTGAGCATTGAGAAGTTCATCCAGCAGAACCTCGCCATGATGAATGTGGCAACTCTTCTGTATATTTATAGTACCTTACCCCTTGGATTAGGAAATTCAAAATTAGCTGCCTCCAAGAGAGTTATGGATTAAATTATGGGATTCCAAAAGTTAATGTGAACAAACCTGGCTTCTTGTCATGAGCACAATTAAATTAAATTAAATTAAGTAATATTCATACCTGAAACATGTCATGGAATTCTGTAATGATTTTATATGCATGTGGGAATAAGCATTAAGAAGTTTGAATTTCCAATATAAGAATATCAGAATTTGGAATGGAATTATATTCTTAGAAATGAACTGAATAGAACACAGTGAAGTAAAAATAAGCTAGGTGTATTTATAGCTCTTTCCACTAAATTGAAGAGTCTTCTGTCAGTGGAAGGGCACCAACTGGATGCAACCCAATATGGATGAGCAAAGAAAAGAATATAGATGGGTGAGGAAAGAAAAAGATATACAGGAGCAAGTATTCTAGTATTAGCATCCCTATTATTATTATTATTAATTTCATTTTCACACAAATATGACTAACATATTCTGAAGTATAATAACCTATAGAACAGCATTTATTTAACTGTTAATGATGATTACTGTTAAAAACCCTAATTATCTGCCTTAGTAAAATATTGAAAATTCACTTTACTCCTAGCGGACTTGTGCTGGAATTCTTAAGGCACTGAATAATTTTATTGATAAGGAAAATGAAGACCTGAAAAAGAAAATAAAAGGTAACAGCTTCTAAACTGTTCATAACTTTGGCCATTCTTTGAAAAGGCACCATGCAAATATCTCGAGGGATCCAGAGAGCTGTGTATGGAGAGCATTGCTCCAGAAAAGCCAGTTTGTTGCAATGGGGATGAAGTTGTGGGGCAAATTGATCTTCTGCCCCATGTTCATGAGGAAGTTCCCCTCACTCATGTCAGTTCCCAGTTTAGTAAAAGTTCAACTTTCTTTTAAACCTGCTTTGCTTTTCCAATGTGGAGCAAAAGAGATTTAGGTGTTTTACCTGCTCCTCCTCCTAGTGCAGAAAGGAGGAAGAACAAGGTAAATACAAAGGGACTTACCTGCACATACCTGCTGCTGCTCTCTCTGATTAGAGATAACCAGTGCTTTTTTTGTAAAAAAAAAAGGTGCCGGAACTCACATCGCCGGCAGTAAGCATGCGACCACACATACCAATCCCAAGCTGAGCAGCAGAGCAGCGTCCCAAGCCGAGAGCAGCGCCCTCACTATTTCACTAGCAGATAGCAGACACAAAAGCAGCCTGCAGGCACTGTGTTAATGATGTTTGCTGCTGATCTGCTACGATTCAAAATCACTTCGTAAAATCCATTGGAAAAAAAGGTGCTGGAACGGTGTTCTGGTGCGTTCTATGACAAAAAAAATCCCTGGGGATAACAGTGGGGTATTGCTGCCAGTATCTGCCAGCAGGGGAATCCCTACTGTCATTTCCTCCAAGGGAATTTGTCCAGGGGGCAGGAGTTAGGAACTCTTCCTTTAGATAGTTGCTGGTAAGTTACATTGTTATGTTAGCTTATGTTCACCTAGCACTGTTCCAGAATTAAGCTTTTCTTGTTTCCTCAGGGCTTTGCTGCTGTATGCCTTTCTATAGTTATCTGACTTGATTTTGGACTGAATAAGACATGCTGACATACCCTCCAATTTTGGGGAACTGTTTTCAGTTCAGAGAGTTATATTCAAAATCATGAAAAACTGAAAAACTCAGAATTGTTTGTATAATGTAGTGTAGCTTCATAATAACCACTTTTTAATTCCTTAATGTATCATCTCACATTTCAGAGTATGAAAAGAAAAAAGTAACACAAAACTTTGTGGATCGTATTTTCGGTGGAGAATTAACAAGCACAATCATGTGTGAGGAGTGTCAAACTGTAAGTGTCTGTTTTGATATAGTACATAAAATTCTGCTTGGTGGTTTGCATGTACAGCTGACCTTTTAAGTTAATTAGTTGGGTTTTTAACCTACAGCTAACCACTGTCCAGGTTTGCCCATCATGGAACAACTTCCTATTCAAAATGGTAATGACCTACACTATAGCAAGCCAAATTAAACCATGATTTTCTACTGCTGCATGTGAATGCAACTTCCTGTCTTGGCTATTCTAGGAATTGTCTCTAGGTAGGATGAGTGGAGCGTACACACATATATACAGATCCTGCAGTTTCATGGCTGTTATATACAGAGACAGAACCAGGAAATCTCAAAAGCTGATAGTGTTGCCAAATATGATTTTGAAAAGTTGGGGTGACCCAGATTTCTTTGTTCTTTTTCCCCCATGACTACCAGAATCAAAATAAAATTTGTATAATGAGAAAGTCCATGCAAATTCCAGAACCTGCCTTAATGATCCATCTTATATTTTGAAGAAAATAGTATACCAATTTGAAGACTGTGTTCCAGTGTGTCTTTTACAAATACTTATAAAATAAAGTGAAATAATCGGGAATTTGCTAAACCTCTCTTTATTTCTCCAAGTTTGCATTGAAAGCCTTACTAATGAATAATTTTATTCTAGCTGAATGGTCCCCCCTTTGTATAGATGCTCATAAATTATGTCTCAGCTTAGTAGCCAAGAATTATTTCTACTGCCTAAGAATGCATATAAAGCACATACCAAGTGCCTTTCCTTTTCCACTGAGGAGGTGGGCAACCTGAGACTTCCACACAATTAAGAAGGGCTATGCATGTATTTGAAAGGTTCCTTGGGTACTTTTCAGGAAGCCCTGAAGCCATAGGAAACACTGTTCTTCATAAGCCTGGGATGCTGGTTTTTGTTTAAGTCTTATGATTAATAAAAGTACACAAAGTGTTGTAGAAATAATGGTCTTCTGGCACAAAAAAGAAAAATGTTTCATGAGTTAAGATCCCTATTTAGCTTACAGTTCACCCAGGGGATTTTTGGCAAAGGACTTTGTGGGTAAGGATAGGGGAGAAGTTTGTTTGGATCAACATCCTGAGGAGGATTATCAAGTCAGCACTTCATCATGTGAACCAAATGTAGTTATGCTTTGGTGCTTGCATCTATGTATGCTTTATGATTCAAAATTGCATTGTAATTTTTAAATGCACAAACAATGAGTGAACAGGATAGGTTCAAGAAATGGAAAAAAGATAATTTTAGAGAACCCGGCATCTCTGATGGTGCATTGCATGCCAAATTCCCTTTACCACCCCCCAGCCCACACAAAGTAAAATAGAAAGCAAACAGATTTTTAGGTAGTTGATCCCTTATTCCATTATAATTGAGAAATAGCACACTTATCTAACTTGTCTAAGCAAGCAGAAGCTTGTTAGTTAATTCCCTGTTCCAATACAAAGCAAGTTAAATATCCTAAAGTAAATTAGTTAGATTTGTTTATTATATTTATATCCCAGGCTGAGGGTTAGTAACTGGCCAAAGTCGCCCAGAATTAGCAACTATATGAGTATCCTGTGCTTCAGGAAAACATAATTCCACTGTGGAGTCATGCTTGGAGCTTGGACTAGGATTCAGGAATTCCAGGTTAATCATTAATAAATAAAATAAGATGTTCAGTCTTTGGGATGCCAAATCTTCTAAAGGTCTTTTAACTAGGGAGTGCTTTGTACCACTCTCTGCACCATGTTCCAAGTTCCTGTGGACCATACACCCAGTTTCTCAAATGCTACAAATTCTGCTTCTTAATTTACTTTTGTATGTCCTGGTTCCAAGAACTAATGTCTGTTCTAAATCCATGTAGTTCTTCTAATAATAGATAAAAATGTTTGTTTTAGGTTTCTTTAGTGCACGAGTCATTCCTTGATTTGTCACTCCCTGTCTTAAATGATCAGGTAAGTCCAGAAGAGCCTGTACTTTGTTTTTGGATTTTTTTTTTTTTTTTTAGCTTGTAAGAACTCTGTTCATGTGAATGGAGGGATTGCTGACTTTTCTCCTACCAGCAGAGTGCCTTGTGCCTCAAGGAATGTGGGAGTCCTCAGCTTTCACATGTAATTTTCCAAGAGACAAGGAGATGGAATTTTCAAAATCAAACATATGGTTGTCCAAATATATGCATATAGTGCCATAACTTACATGCTGTAGGTGCTTTTTCCCACACCAACCTCATATATAGAACTCCTAAAAGAGTATTGAAATAAACGAGTCCTTCATAGTAAAACAGCAGGACATATTGGTTTATCCTGCTTCACTTGCACTTTTAATGCAGTGGAGTTGATCAAATGATAAACTGTGAGACACTCAGTGAAGAAAAGCTGTACCCTTTCTTTTAGGACCTGTCAAGGCCAGAAAATGGAAAGAAAAGTCCAAGTCCCGGCAAACTGTTGTGAATAATATTAGTCTTCAATTGAATATTTGTTTTCCAAATTATTTAATATGACATCCCAAGTTAAGCTGTTCATAATCTTTTTAAGGGTGGTAAGAAAAAAAATGAGAAAAATGTTAAAAAGATACAGGAAAGGGAGATGGAGAATAATGAAGACAATGTGGGAAATGACTGTTATTTGAAGTCAAGAGAAGAGGATCCTGGTACAAGTAAGCATCTCCAGAAAAAGGCAAAGAAAATTGCCAAGAAGCAAGCAAAGGTTAGTAAAAAGTAGGATTTGTTGTTATGTGCCATCAAGTCATCTCCAACTGACAGTGACCCTATGCATGAAAGTCTTGAAAATCTGTCCATGAAAGCTTCATTTGGATGTTCCAAGTTCAAAGCTGTGGCTTCCTTTCTGGATTCAGTCTGTCTCATATTTGGTCTTCCCTTTTGTCTTCTGCCTTTCACTTTTCCTAGTGTGACTCCAGTGAGTCTTGCTTTCTCATGATGTGTGTCCAAAATACAACAGCCTCAGTTTTGTCATTTTTGCTTCTAGGGAAAGTGCTGGCTTGATTGATCTAGAACTCACTTGTCTATCTTGCTGTCAGTACAGGGTATTCTCAAAACTCTCTTCCATCAGCCTGTTCCAAATGCATCCATTTTCTCCTATGAGTTTTCTTCACTCTCCAGCTTTCACACCCATGCATTGTGATGGGGAATACAATAGTTTGGAACATCTTGACCTTGGCCATCAGTAATATGTCCTCACGTTTGATTATCTTTCATTGCTGCCCTTCCAAGTCTTCAGTGCACTTGCTTTCAAACACGATTGGTTGGATGCCTGATTGGGCTGTCATTAATAGATTGAAAAGTTATTACTAGTGCTGTGCTGAATGTTGTGACTTTTGATTTTAATGAAAAGTTTTCAGGAAGTTGAGGGAGAGTGCTTCCCACTCTTTAGTAGCTATCCATTCCTATTTACATCTATTCCTCTGGTCCCATCCTGCTTCTCCATGTACCTTACTTGATTTGAAAGGGCTTCTTCATTGCAATAGCTGGGATCAGAACTGAGGATCCCAAACAATCAGAAACCATTTAAGATCCATGACAGTGTCACACCACACCTGTGTGTGCTGCCTTAGTTTCATAATTTACTGCACTGGGAATGGTTGCCATTTCATCAAAAGCTTTCAAGGCAGGCAGTGGAGTAGCTTCCAAACAATCCCACAAGCCAGGACTTCTAGGTTACCAAGGTGGCTTGGAAGCCACCACTGCACCCATCCTTGCTGGACTGGGACAGTATAGGAATGTGTGCCCAGTAACTATGGAAACAAAGTGGCATGGGGTCAGCATTCATGGGGCAAGAAAAAGAAGCCATACTGACTTCTTTTCAACTGACTTCAGTTCAGTTTATCTATCATATCGTTTGCATATTTCTGTACAGCACAAATCAGTGTAATTTGCCTTAAACAGAATTTCTTCCTTTTGTATGTCACTTGACAGAACCAGCGGCGTCAGCAAAAATTTCAGGAAAAGGTGATTCCACTTACAGATAGCTGTCCCATTGAAAAATCTGAACCTCAAAATGTTTGCACTAACAAAATAGTAGAAAGTAATGAAATTGTGGAAATGGACTCTGAGGAGACTTGCCTAAAACGAGAGGAGGAGCCATTAAAACCATTTGAAGATCATAATGTGGATCAAAAAGAGAATATAAATGGACAAGAATTAACATCAGATCAACAGAATACAGACGAACACAGTGAAAATACAGATGCTTCTGACCCAGAGGCAAACAGTGAAGTCAGCATGGATGTTCCCACAGAAGAGTTGGTTTCTACTGAAGAGTGTGTCAATAAATTGGACCATCTGTCTCTTAAAGAGGACAGTCTTGAGGAAGAAGAAAATACAGCCAATGATTTCAACAGATTATCCTTCGATGAGGAACCTGTTGATGATGATCTAGAAAGCTTGAATGAAGAGCATAATTCTGAGACAAAAATGTATGAAGTAGTGAATGAAGATCCACAGACAGCTTTCTGTACTCTTGCAAGCAGGGAAGCTATGACTATAGAAGAAAATTCAATCCTTCATTGCTTGTTTCAGTTCACTCATAATGAGAAACTTTGTGACAACAATAAACTGCTCTGTGATGCGTGCACACGCAGACAACTTTGTGGACCAAAGACCACAGGAAAAAGTATGCTAACTCTCTTAAATCTTTCCTTAGTAAGCCAGCCTAACATAAATTATTTCACAGAGCATATGTTCTAGTAGATCAGGGTGAAACTGAGAAATGCATTCCTCTCTTTTATAAAGCTCTTCATATAGCATTGCCATAAGGAAGTTTAGACTACTTGCCATCTTTGAGTAAGGATATAACCTAGTTGAAGACGTTATTTTAAAAACTAAGTTATATGACAAAACTCAGTGAAGATAGCAGTGTTTGATACTAGAAAGGTAGACTGTTTTTCATGCCTCTGTATAGAATTTGTTCAGGTAACCAATTAGATATGTGGAGTAGGATAAAGACATGGTAAAACTTGGCTTCGCATTTTACTAGGCGTCCTCCTTCCCAATTGTCCCTAGATTATTCTGTATCCACCCTGGTGCCAGTGCTCCTGCTGGCCTTTTCTTTGAGGTAGATGACCCTAATTGCCCTTCCTGCACGGATTAAAAAAAAAGCACCTTCATAGATTTCATAGCCAAAGAGTCACACACAAAAATACCAGGAGGTGCACCATGCATGCAATTATAGCAAAATTTTAATATGCACTTTTGTTTCTTTGATATGCAATTTGGTTCATGAGTTGTGTTTGCCTCAAAATACACTTCATCAATTGAAATGCTTTGTGTAGTTGAGAGCTAACTGCAGCATCCAATTCCTGTAGTTATATTTTAAACACATGTAGAGGATGTAATCTTATAACCAGCCTCAGATCTGTGCATTGCTAACTCAAAAAAATTTTTCCTATGAGAAAAGATGCGGAGCTGGCTCATTCATTTGCATCATAAGTATACATGAATTGGTTTTGAGGATGCAGTTTAATACGGCCATTTTGTCAAAGAGAAATCCACTACGACCATAAAAGTAGGATTGGTATAAATAGTATTTTCAGGCAGACTGGGACTCGGGCTATCTGGGTTCTAGTCCCTGCATAACCTTGGAGCCAACTGGGTGGCTTCAGCCAGTCACAGACTCTCAGCCCAATCTACCTCACAGGGTCCTTGTTGTGGGAATGAGAACAGGAGAAAAATGATGTAAGCTGCTTTTCTTAAAAAGAAAAAAGGTAGAAAATAAATCTAATAAATAATGCAGTGCCTTGCAGAAATAGTCACATGCAATCCTTTGGCTTTTCCACATTTTGCTGTGTTCAACCCAGAACCAAAGTTGAACATTATTGGTATTGTTACCACTTGGTGCATGCATGCAAGATAGTCAAGACTATGACAATGCAAAATATTTTTAATGTGGTGGTGCAAAAGTTAACAGAAACTAATACCTTTCTGTCGTTATTAAATAGTTAATGCATCATGTTTGTTTCTTTTTCCTCCAGATGCCAAGAAACGTGTTTACACAAATGCCAAAAAACAAATGCTTGTTTCTCTTGCTCCTCCAGTTTTAACTCTACATTTAAAAAGATTTCAACAGGTATAACCATCTTTATAAAATAAATTTTAAAACCTTGACTTGAACACTCCCTGGTACATCAGATTGACCTATGATTAAAGCACAGATGTAGAAACTCAGACCCCAGGGGACAACATTGCTGCTGTTCCTCAGATGACCCTGCACCTTTTTCTGCATCCACACCAGTTATTTCATGGCTTCTCAGCTTTTGTGCTTTTTCCCTTCTATTCTAAAAGTTTGAAATGCTTTGCCTGAGTTTTAGCTACTGGTCATAAGAGCTTTATGCTAAAATATGCTAGTATCTTTTGCCCCATCTTTTTCACCTTCAGCCCCATCCATTTCCAACACTGGAATGTGGACCTTGAATGCTTCTCCAAGAGGAATTCTTTAATTGCTAAAGCCAGATTCCAAGAACCCTGAGCCAGAGAAGTTTTCAGGAAAGAGACTTTAATGAACAGGATATCTTTACTTATTACTGTATTTTATTGGAGCTATAATTTTTAAAAGAATTAGACCTTAAGTCTTTTCTGATCGTGAACATTTGGTTCTGTTATTTTACGCATTTGTACCATTTCTCTCCTCTGGTTTCTACCTAGACAGGTTATAATCTCCAAAAAGTGAACAAGCACATAAAATTTCCTGAAGTGATAGATTTAGCTCCTTTCTGCTCAATTAAGTGCAAGGTAAGCCAGAAGAAATTCTGTTTCAGTTTTTTCCTTGCCTATGCATCTCTTTTATTGGTTCTCTTCCTGTCTTTCCATGCAGGCAAGTGCTCCCCCCCCGCCCCCACTGGAGTCCCCTAGGCTTCTGTTTTGTTGGCTGATAGTCATGCTTTCTGCACATTGTCTCCAGGTGGCTCCTTGACCCATGAGTCATAGTATGTCTACATCAGTGATGAACCTCAGGCTTGTAGGACAAACTTCACCTTCTTGGGGCAGCCTGTTTAAGTCATATAGCCTTGTGTGAAGGGCAGTGAGGGAGGTTGCCCTAGTTCCCAGCAGTGAACACATGGACAGTTACTAAAGTAGGATGCCACCACGCCTTCTGCCCATGTCAGCCCAAGCCAAGGACCTTGCAAATCACTCTTAAAGCTTAGGGGATAGGGGTTCGAATCTCCACACCCTATTCCCAAAACAGAAATGTTACACAGAAGCAATTAACAGAAGACTTTTGATTTAGTACTAAGGCTTAACTGGTAACGTAAAGGAGCTTTATGGCTATGCCTTGCATGTTTTCAGCAAAATACAACTCCCTTTACTTTTCAAACACTTTTACTTTTGTTAGTAAAGCTGGGGAATCAGTGTGGTGTAACAGAATATCAGACTGAATCTTCTAAAATCCAGGTTTTTGTTTCTGGTTGGCCAGAAAGTGCACTGAATGACTCTGGACCAGTTGTTGAGTCTTGGTCTGAACTACAATCATAGGGCTATTGTGAGAAAGAAATGGAAAGGATTATATAAAATGCTTTGGGTCTTCTAGGAAAAAAGGGTATAAATATTACATATCCACTTCTTTAAGTGGTTTCCTGTTTATCTCTGATCCAAACTGGAAATATTACGTAAAAATTAAAAATCTTTGTGTGTCAACAAAAAATCTATTTGAAACACCCTATAAATATATTGTTCTTCCATAGAATGTAGCAGAGGGGAGTTCTAGAGTACTTTACTCCTTATATGGAATCGTTGAACATAGTGGCACCATGAGATCTGGCCACTACACAGCTTATGTGAAGACAAGAGCTCCTAACAACCACATTTCTGATCTTGTCCTCCATGGCAAGTTTCAACAAAGTAAGTAGGACCAGTATTCTTTTGCCTTAAAATATTAATATAAAACTGAATTCCTATAAATGAGCAATAATGTAGTAATAATAAAGAATTGCTTTGGATTTTTTTTCTCCAACAGCTTCAGAGACTGAGTCATCTAAAGGACAGTGGTTTAATATTAGTGATACCCATGTACAAGAAGTGCCTGTATCCAGAGTGCTGAATTCACAAGCATATCTCCTGTTCTATGAAAGACTACTATAAATGTCCTAAGGAATCTTCCCTACATTTTTTTTTTGAAACCAAGGAAGTGGAACCAAAAATACAGATCATGTTCAGTTGAATATTCACTGTACCCTGAATTTTAGTCTTCATTTGCATTTAAATAGAACATACAATTCCAGCTTTTAAATAAAAATGCATCTTTAATTGTCTTGTTTAAGACAGGGAATTAAATGTGACAGCTAACACAAGTTTACTGTATCATGTGAACATACTCAAAATGTTTCCTCATTTATTAAGGCATGAGCTGCTGGAGGAAAGAAAATGGGATGAGTAGTTAGCCAAATGTGGAAGAGCGAGAAAAGCAAGCAGGGGCAACCACTACTTCCAAACAGTAAAGTGGTATTGGGGCAATGACAATGGAGTGAGCTAAACACAAGGAAAGGCAAAAAATGGAATAGCTTCCTTACCTAAAAGGGCCAGAAGGGATTTAAAGGACATTAGAAAGGTATAAAGCAATAGTAATAAACCACAGAGGAGAGAATAAAAGAAAGCTCTGATAAAAGGAAATGAAACCAATAGCTAGGATGGAAAAATGTCAGAATGGGACAGAAGGGAATAAGGTAGATTACTGAAAACGTGCATTTACAGATGTCGGATTGTTCCATATGGGTGAGAGGTTCTTAAACTTGAATACTGTATGAACAATGAACTAAATGCAAGATAGCTTTGAAGCAAGAATTCATATCAATTTCAAATTGACTAGAAGTTAGTATCTATGGTAATCATTAAATCACTTTGAACAGTTATGTGTACTAGACCAGGAAGATGCATCTTTTATTGAAACTGTTTTTATTGAAATAGTATCTAGTAGAGATTTGTTTCATAATTTAAAAGGAATTCACGTGACAAGGTACACAAGCTCCTCAAGACAGATGTATATTGAACAGTTTCAATCACTTTGGTCATCATCCAAGTCCTTTTTTCCAGATGGTGGTTTGGGGCCACCAGCTGGTTTGGCCATGATGATCTACAAGAAAAAGAAGCAAATTAGGATTATATACCCTGTAGTCCACTTGAATTAAAGCATGGCAGAACTGGATTTTAACCATTTGATGTATATCTATTATAACTTGAACACTGGAACTCTAATACTACAACTATAGTAATTAATGCTTTAATTCAGTAATAGTTACCCACATAATTATATACCATGGTAATGACTTTAAAAAATACAGGATAGCGATTACCAATCAGTACTCTATCAGCATTTATATTTATTTAAAACCAAGCAAAACAAGTATTTCAGTGCATCATATTGCCCTGAAAAAAACAATGCCTTTGCAAAACCCAAGTATTGTGTCTTGGCAGCATGCATTTTTTAATAAGTCTCATAACCAGACAGCATTTTGACTCAGTTTACAAAGACAGGACAACTGCAACATCATCCAATTCTTCTGAGGCCTGCAAATGTTTTAAAATTATTCACATGCATTATTTCTGGTCTATGGTTACAGTCACAAAAAATGTCTCAAAACACAATGATCGAGCCCTACAGAAGTTCTCTCAGCATGAACATCCTCAGGTTAACTTTAGGTGCATTGTGTTGTAAAAAGTGACAGCCACCGTGACCAAAGTGTTAAAGAGCAACCTGCACAAAATGTTAAAATTGCCAAATAAAGGGTTAGCACAGTACAGACGGTATCCAACATTCATTTCTGCAAACTTGTAATAATGCTAGGAGACCTCCATCTTTCAGTTGCACCATGAGTTGTGCAAGCACAAGGCACAGCCACTGGTACAACCATAGCTTTAGTATTTAATAATACTTATAAAGCCATTAATATAATGAAATAAGCAGATGGATTATCTTGTGCATGATTCAAAATCTAGTTTCCTCTAGCACATCATTTGTGTTCATGGAATGACAAGTTGGATACTAACTTATACTACAAATGGAATCATGCATACTTATTTTTAAAACATTTTAGAAATGCTTATTATGCAGCACTCTTAAGGTTGTTATATGGTGATGTCATTAACACGTGATCTTGGAAGCAAAAATGCAACCATCAACTTCAGGCAGAATAAAAAGATACTCATGCAAAGTTTGTGTTCCTATCAACAGAAAACACCATTCCAAATCTTACGCCATGCTACTGTTCAGGGCCATCTTTCCAGTCATCCTTGTCCCAGTGTTCTGATGTTTTGGGTGCTTTTGGACCACCTGCAGCTTTTGCCATAATAATCTATAGAAATTTCACATCAAATATAGATTTCCACTAAATACCATTTTAAAAAGTCACTATGTACCATTGCTTACACATCTATACATGGAGTTAGTGTGTCATGTCACCTTTGCTAAGCTGTAAAGGTGTGGACCTGCAACCAGATGGGTGATCACAAGTGGAAGTGCAGCAGGAGGTTGGACTCGATGGTCTTACTGGCCCCTTCCAACTCTATCATTCTACTGTATTTTATAATATAGTGTTCATTTCAAAATATAACAGGCTATGTGTGGTTTCAAACAAGACTACACATAGACACAGAATACTAAACTAAGGCAGAACCTCCAATCATGCCTAATTTCTAAGAACCATACATGTTTGTCACAACAGATTACTACTTTGCATAATATATTTTGTATGAATCAAAGCACTAAAAAGTCTATATACCAACTTACCTGATCAACTCTTAGTACAGTTACTGCAGCATTTGTGGCCAATTTGATACCCCAGTATTTCCCAAGTTGTGTATCTAGTACACCAGCTTCCAACATATCTTTCACTGCTGCTGCTTCTGCCTGTTAAATATTAGTAAAAGTATCATAGCTAGATCTCTTCATAGCACTCACATTTATACCAAGCCATTCTGCTATGACTGGATCTTTTAACAGCCTTAACTTTACAGAGTGAGTCAGAAGGGGTCTCCTCGGCCATCTAGTCCGACCCCCAGCATAAGCCAGCTCCGCTCATGTAATGGTTAACAAACCTAAAACACACTTTTCAATACTGACTTATTTCAGTAACACCCAGTTTATTACATCAGAAATTCATCACAGTTGTTGCCTATATGTAATATAAAACTAAGCACACCAGGTTCAGCTCGCCACAGCTGTCAAAGTTTCTGTTGTGCAAACAGAGCTCCTGTCCTGAAGCACAGCAGGTCTACTGAAGCAGGACGGGTTGCCTGAGCATGGAGCAGACAAAAGGTTGGGAAGATCAGGTGGCATGTGAAGCCCCTCTCACACAGGAAGGGGTAAAATCAGCTGAGGAGTGGTGCCCAGTTGGGAACAACACTACACTGCAGATTCCCCTGCTTCATCCCCCTTTTTAATCCCCACTTCCAGGAGAGGTATCCCCAGCCCACTGCCCACCCAAGCACTTTTCCTGCAACTGGCAGCAAAGAGGGCAAGTTCTTCTCCCTTCTCACTCCCACTTGCCAGAGAGGTGTACCCATTCCAGCACCTATGAAGCCTCACTGGGAAGTGGAAGCAAAAATGGACAGCAGCAGCAAAATCAACTGAAATGGTGCAGACCTGCCCCTTCTGCCCTCCTGCTCATGAGATGGTCTTCCCTCAGACATGCAGGGAGACAGCAGTGTGAGACTGAGTGTTGCTGCTCCTTTCCAGAGATGATCTTTAGGGCAGGAAACATACAGAGCAAGGGCACCTCTGTCAGCTATGCAAAACAGTAATTGTCAGTGATGATCTTGCAGGCTGCCCTTGCCAAGCCTTGGTACCAGGACAAGTTGGGCTTTCTGAGTTTAGAAGACACAAGCCACCAAGATACCAAGAAACCATAAAACAGACACCTTCAGTTCATGATTACTACACCAAGATACCACAGCAGGGTTTCAACAACACAACAACAACAAAGATAAAATATCATGATGGCTTGTCATGCCATGTAAACCCACAATTTTTAAAAATGCCTTTATTGTTAAGGAGCTGAACAACCCACCAAATGTCACTTTCAAGCAGACTTTGGTCCCAAGTTGATCAAACTTTGGGCTGAGTCTAGGAACGTAACTAGCTTGCCCCGAGTGTCCCTAAAAACCTCTGACAACATGAAAGGGTACAATCTCTGTCACTCACCAAGGGAAAATCTCACCAAGAGTTTGTTGCATGTAACCATTTTGCCCTTCCTAGTCATGTGGCTGTAAAATATGCATAAACTTCTTGTCCTATGGTTGCAAGTTCTAAGAGATGTATTTGTAACTAGCAATTCACAACTCATGATTATTGGACTGTTAATTCCTATACAACAGATTTAATTATGTTAGATGCATGTTGGCAGAAATTTAAAAAAAGGGGGAGATTAGTTAAGATCACCTGCTATTAGTGTAAGTTTTTCTGTTTTACATTCTAGACAACTATTGACTTGCATGCACCTTATACCATTTCCTGGAAATGCTCAATAATGTTCACCAAATATTTTATTTGGACAGCATTCCCAAGGTACATTTGAATCCAATACTCAACTAGAAAAAGTGACTGTACCATCAGTGAAGGATTAACAAAACAAGCGTTACTGTCTTTTATCTAAAGTTATTAAGTATTCTCTTGCAGACCCACAGAAAGCATTACAGAGCCACAGTACTTGAGCAACTAACACTGTTGGACATTATAGGAGATTAGTCTTACCTCAATATCAAACCCAACATTTTTGTTGCCTTCTTGATGTACTGCATAAAGCTTAGAAATAAGCTCATTTGCCTTAACTCCTGAATTTTCAGCCAGTGCTCGAGGAATAGCTTCAAATGCCTCAGCAAATTTTTTGATAGCATACTGATCAAGACCTGGACAAGTCTAAAGATAGATATGGGTAAGCTGTATTATATGAAAAGCTAAACTTATTAATGAAAAGTTCATTAATATTCTGTATAGCCTACCTCTCCATATGAAGTGATCTGCTTAGCTAACTCAATCTCTGTTGCACCACCACCTGGAACAAGGCGTTTATCCTACAGAAGAATAGACAGAAAGAATATTTGAAAGGGTAGGGCTTCTAGAATTCAAGCACAAAAATTTAGAAGAGTTTTGGTTTCTAAAATTATCTAAGATTTACTATCTATATACAACAGTATACACTTTCTCCTATAGCATTATGACATGCCAAATGGACCC